TAGACTTCACAACTCCCAACTCTAAAGGCAAACCTAGATGAGCTACCCAGGGCTTTCAGATGGCTGACTGCGCTTCGGGTGGATATGGACACTGACATGACTGAAGAACAGAGGGAGATGCCCTCAGTGCTGTGAGAGCAGCTGCTGGAGAAGGCAGTCTGGAGGCTGGGAGATGCTGTGCTCTGCCTTGCTGAATTCTAGCCTGCCGACTATAAGGCCTGCTCATGAAGACTCAAAATATTGCATAGAAACCAGAATACTCAACATCCCTGCAATGACCTTGTCAAGAATGCAAATAATGAACTCTGCAAGTCCCTCAGAACTTTGGCTCTATGGAGTGCTATGCCTGGAGATTCTGTGAACATGACAGAAAAAGGAATCATGGATCCAATGAAGGTGCAGAAAGCTACTTTACTGTGTGGTGCTGGGAAGCCTCTGTTAACAATAGTAGAAGTCCTTAACAAAAGAGGAGGACCCTGGAGCTGGCGTAGCAGACGACATAGGAAGTAGGATGGGAGATAACATGGAAGGTGGCAAGTTCTAAACCCTAGAATCCTAATTCATGGTTTTTAATCAATTGTGACAGGAAGCTCAAGGCAGGGTTCCAGCAATGGCTTCAGAGAAGTCAGCTGAAGACAATGACTGAAGAAAAGGCTGGAGGATACCAAAGGGAATCACAACCACTGGGTGAAGTCAAGAGGAGCCTTTCTGTTACAATTCCATGACAACCTTTATATAACAAAAGTTTGTTTAGCATTTTTTAAGAGAGGACTGAGGAAGACAGAGCATTTGCCTGGCATGCACAACGCTCTAGGTTCAGTCCCCAGTACTGGAGGTAAAAAAAAAAGTCATTTGGGCCAGTGAGATGGCTCAGCATGTTAAGGCTGTTGAGGCAAGCCCAATCTGTGGAACCCACATAATGAAAGGAGACAAATACTCCTGCCAGGTGTTCTCTGACCTCCCATCCCTGCCAATAAATAAATATAATAAACATTTAAAGTAATAAAAGAGAGCTGGACATACATATATGCATGCTTAGAAACGGGAGAGACACACGCAAAAGTAGGAATGGGTCAACAGAAAGGAAACTATTTCTTTGCATCTTTTTCTTTTTAATAGCAAAATCATAGGTAATTTTTGTTTTGTTTTGTTTCTGATTTCTTGTCTAGCCTTGGGAAAAGTCAGTGTTCCTTACATGTTCCTCCCTATAAACACCTTTTTCTTCTTTACCCGACAAGAGCCCATGACTTTTGAGGAAACAGGACTCACCACACATTTGAAATCTGATGTCACCAAATGGAATGTGAAGGTTCTGCTTAGTAACAGGAGGTGGCACAGACTCATACTGTGCCCTGTCAAGCTCTAGGCTCACTTCTCAACCACACTGCTTTAGAAAGTGACTGCTGTTTCCAGGACAGCTATGTAATTCCACCCAGCTCCTAGTGTGGAACAGCAGAGACGTGCGGCTGCTCAGACTCTGAGAGAGCATGTGTCCTGCAGCCAGCACATGGCCTGGGCTAGGAGGAAAAGGAAGCACGTGAAGAAGCTGACTGGACAGCAGAGTAGAAGGGGATGGCGCCTGCTGGCCAAATCCAGGCAGAAGAGCAGGGACAGCGAGAAGCAAGTCTCTGGTGAGCTGGGTAAGGAGGGAGAAGGGTAAGGAGGGCTGAGCTGGAGATCAGTAGCAGGCTTGCCCAAGGCACACAAAGGCCAAGGGTCAGTCCTAAGTGCAGTAATAAATACATCATTGGGAGAGTTCTTGAAGTAAACTAGAGAAAGCAGAGCACACCCTGAACTATAGCTTATCATTAATCCTTCCAACTGGGAGGAAATAACCCTCTGTTACTGACAATTCCTAGACAAAACTCACTCTTGAAATGTAAAAATAACTCAATGAACATACAACCATTCAAAGTTCACAGCAAAAGACATCATGTAACTCAGCCATCAGTCCTGTTACTTGGCAAAGAGACAGTATTTTCCTAAGATGGTTTGTGGTGACCCTGTCACACCTGATGCCACCCAGGCCCCCTTTTAAGCATAACCACCTTAAGCAGCTCCACAGCCACGAGCACCTCCTCAGCTGGAACTTTGTTGTCCCCCAGCATGTTAGAAAGAGTCCACTTGAGGGGCTTCAGCAGGAAGACTCCAACACCCCACGAGATCCAGCTGCTGTCCACACTGGCCATGAAGTCTGATTCTCGCTGCAGCTCGCCTCGACTGTAGAGAGAGAGACAGAGAGACAGAGGCATGTAGGGATGTGTGATGCAAGGGCCTATCCTAATCCATACCTGCCCCTCTACCCCCAGAGGCATTTCATCATCTTCATCATCATCATCATCATCTGTTCTGTACCAGCTACTTGGAGCAGTGTCACCCGCACTCCAGCCTCCTAATCCCTTTGCACAATAGATGGCATCACCTATATTTAACTAAGGAGGAGACTGGGTTCTAAGATGGTAAAGAAGGCCAGATGACACCCAATTTGTTTGACTCGGAAAATGCAAGTGTCCCACTAAGACAACAGAGGCACAAAAGGCTTTACTGGGCCCATGCTGATGTTTCCTTCTGCCTATGGGCCTGGGAGCAATCAAATGAAAGCCCTGTGCAATAGGCAGGACCTAAGCAAGAAAGCAAAGCTACATGGAGCAGGGTCTTACGTTATCCCTAAGCTAGGCTGGAAGTGAGACATATTTCCTGGTAGTGGTAACAACAGCGGCCAAGTCTAAGTGCTTGCCATGGGCAATCACTGTGTTAAGGGCTATATAAAGATCCTCAGGTTTTCACAACCACCTACACAATGTTGTCACTGTAATTTGATAATTGGTCAAAGACTTACAGATGGCATGTCACCTATGCAGGGGCCGGTTTAGAAAACAGTAAAGCCAGGATCTGGGGACAGTTCGGCCATGAAGCAAAGCTGTTGATACGTGGATAGCAAACCTAGACAAGTATCAGGGAACTTCAAGCATCAGCAGACAGGACAGGAGTTTCAAGGTGTCAAAGGTCTCTGAATTTGAATACAGGCCATGACTATCCTGCATCAAGAGGCTCATTTTGGTTTAGTCCCTCACCGACTTAACTGCTTTCCACTTCAGGCATCGGGTAAACCTTTTCCCACAACACACTTTCTCAGAGGAGAATTGCAGAAAGGTTTCTTAGGTCAAGGTCAGGCAATGAAAGGTATTGAATACAGAAGTAAAGAAGGGTGGCAATTTAATGAGAAAGCATTAGACTAAACGAAACGGCCTGGACTTACTCTGTATTCATTGAAAGAGGCACGGTGCTAGGCTGGGCTGGGCATAATACGTGCAGTGTGAAATAAATGATTTAGAATCCAAATACCAGGGATCCAGTCCTGGGGTTACTATAGCTGTGCAAACTAGGAATAGGTTACTTGGTCTCCCGGAGACTGTTTCTTATTTTTAATAGGGATAATCTTGACCTGGATTATTGAAAAGGCCAGAGACTGGAGTTACCCAGTTAAACTCTCCTGTCTCCCACGACCTGCACACTGTACCTGTCACACACACACAACACCTAAAGCCCTTTCAGGTTACCCAGTTAAACTCTCCTGTCTTCTGTTCCTAACAGTTCAGTCCTGGACATGCTAGTTGTATGACCTGTGCCAGAGTTCTCTTGTCAAGATGCCCTACAACACCACGAGAACTCTCTCCCTAGCTCTTTCTTAGTTCAAAGCACCCATCTCGGAGATCTGCTACAGAGGTAATTCAAACCTGGAGGTCCTGTTGAAATAACTGCATAACGGGACGCCAGTCCAAGTGTGCCGCTGACACCTCTGCCAGGGTGGTTCTCGCCTGGACCACTCATGACTATCCCGATCACTCCAACCACCCCGACCCCTTTCTCTCTCTGTCCAGACATCCGCGGAGCCACGTCCCCGTCCTCCTCCTCCACCCACTGAACAAACCCTGACCGCTGAGTCCGGGCTGTCAAAGGGCAGGGTTGAAGTCAGCCCCGGGGAGCCGCCCCCCGCTCGGCCCGGTCCTCACCGCAGCAGGTCCTGCAGCACGGTGGCCAGCCCCAGCGGGACACTACCCTTGCGCTGGAAGGCCTCCTGCAAGTCCCGCAGACGCAGGCGCACCACCCCTTGGCGGCGGCTGTGGCTCAGCACCAACGGCGCCCAGAAGCCCATCTTGCTGTCCCAGTCGGTGCTGTTCACCTCGCGACTCCTCTTGAAGGCGGAGAACAGGAAAGACATGCGCTCCTCATCCTCCTCCCACTCGGGCGGCAGGAGGCCCGCCGGGTCTCCCCCGGTCGGGGCCTGGGCCTCCCGCCCCGGGGACCACATCGGAACCCCAGCCCCGCCAAGGAACCGAACACAAGCCTGGCCCGGGTCCCCTTCCGCCCTAGGTCCCTCTCGGCTTCCGTCGCTCCCTCACGCCCTCCTCCTCAGTCATCACGTCACCGCCGCCGCCAGCGTGATAAAAGTCCCGCAAGTCCTCAGGGCGCAGGCGCAACGCTGCATTCCTTCGGCCAGGAGTTGGAGATGAGGGCGTTCTCGCCAAAGAGGCGCGGGGCGCAGGCTCAGAATCTTCCTTCCATGGCCTTTGTGCGACGGGAAGGGTTTTGCGCGTGCGCCGCAACCATAGAGTTCGGGGAAGCGCTCTAGAGGGGCGAACAATTGCGCCTTCCCAGGTGATTTGGGCTTACAGTAGCAGGACCGGGGCTACGGGACCTGCAGGTGGATTTTAACTTTGGATCTGGTTTGCCGCTCCTAGTTCAGGAGCTTTTACATTAAACAAACCTCCAAGATGCCCTTCTTTCTCTAGTCTATCAGCTGATAAACAGAAATGGTCCCAAAAGCTCCATGACAGTGCACACACTTTTAGGGCTACATATGTTTCTTATCACGTTCCTCTCGCCCTTCTGCTCTGGAGTGTCCTCTTTCTTCTAAAAATCCGTATCCAGCCAGGTCTTTTTTAAGAAGCCAGCATCATGCCTACTCGCCCCTGAAGCCCGGGGCTGTCCGAGCTTCCGGTATCGCTTCGATCTCGCGACTCCTCTGTTCCCACAAGGAGACAGCGATGCCAAGTGTCTTGCAATGATAGCGGTGCTGCAGAAAATACTTTATATACTGCAAGGTTCTTAAACCTTGCTCTTTTATTACTTTGCAGTTTTGAAGAGTCTCACAAAATCTCTTCAGTCATGAGAATAAATTGTTGTTGTAATAGTGGTAGTGTTGTAGCCGGGCAGTTTTTACCCAAAAGGAGACCAGGACGAGCCCTTTATGAATTTGAAGTTTTTTGTTGAGCCACACGGACCCGGCCGAAGGCAAGCAATCTTGTGACTACTAGTCTAGAGAGGCGGCCCCGATTCGTTAAAGACGGGTTTATGAAGGGAAAGACACAGGTTCAGTACTTCCGTTGACGCGGTGGCTGTTGGCAAGCATAGCAGGATATGAACTTTTAACAAAACGGGGCATAAGTAAACTGCCATGGCTTCTCGGTTTGATCGGGGAGCAGAAAGACTTGTTGTTACGGAAAAGAACAATGCAAGTTCGTAATGGTCCCCGTAAGTAGCCGTGTATGCCTGAGCGTCAGGCTGACGTTTTACTCCGAGATACGGTCAGGAATTAATGAACATATTCTTTTCGTTTCATTAGCGGGGGATTTTCCTGGAGTGGGGGACCTCCTGTACGCTGAAGAGCACTCTGCCATTGAAATATACTGATTTTTTAAAAACAGAGTTTTAAATTTTTATCTTTGTGTTTTGCCTGCTTGTGTTCAAGTGCGCCGTGAACATGCAAGGCCAGCAAAGGCCATCAGAGGGAGTCGGATACCCTGGAATTGCAGTTACAGTTGGGAGCCCCCCTGTGGGTGACTTAACCTAAGTCCTCTAATCTACAGATCCAGCCTGGAAATATGCCTATTTTAAAAGAACCGCCAAGCAAGCAAACAATCTAAAAGGTGAAAGGAACAGTTTGTGTAAAACTTAAAAAGTAAATCGGAAGTTAGTTTGGGCTTAAGAAAAAGTAGTTTCTGTTAAACAGTCGCCTTTATAAAGTGGTAGGTATTTCCTGAAGGGTTGTTTGGAGGAAATGTGAGGCGATTCAAGGTTTACAGTAGTTGAAACAGTGTAAGGGTGAATTTTCATACGCATTGAGTTTTGTCTTTGAATGCGTAGAGCAGTGTTTAGTTGTGTATCGATTGATATTTATGTATTGCTGCATTCCCCTGTTTTCAAACATCTCATTGAATGCTCTTCCCAGATGCTTTCCCTACACTGCACTTAATGCTCACAGTCAGCTTGTCACTGTCCCTGATTTTAAAGAGGAAGCTGAGCCAGGTGTGGGGGCATACAGAGTTCCAGGACACCCAGCGGGAGGGAGGAGAGATGGGGGAGAGAGAGGAGAGGGAGGGAGGGATGGAGGGAGAGAAGAGGAGAGGAGAGAGGGATAGCGGGGAGAGAGGAGAGAGAAAGGGGGAGGAGAGAGAGGGGATGGAGAAAGAGAGGGGAGAGTGTTAGTGTTCAGGCATCCGTACTGGCCTGTCCTTGGGCTTCTGAGAGGATGTCCTCACTTGCAGTCACTAAGAGCACCGCCTGCGCACATACACTAGGTTACCTTTTACAGACTTTTTCTTACCCTCCCTCTCCCCCTCACTCTCTCTGCCTCTCTTCTGCCACTCCTGTCCCCAGAGGTTGGTCTCCTTTCTCCCCTCCCCCTTTTCCCTTCACTTTCTGCCAAAAAAAAAAAAAACCCACACCCAAGCTCGGCTGCTTGGCGTCTTTCTCTTGTGCGCCACTTTTTAAATTACAACAGAGAGAGAGGAGAGTGGAGAGATGGGAGAGACAGAGGAGGGAGGAGAGAGAGGAGAGAGGGAGAAGAGAGGAGGGTGAGAGGGGAAGAGAGGAAGGGAGAGAGAAAGGGGAGAGAGAGGAGAGAGGGGGGAGAGAGAGGAGGGGGAGAGAGAGGAGGGAGAGCTGTAACTACTGAATCTAGTAGAGAAAAGATTAGTATAGAAGGTTAGCAATTGTTATTCACTAGGAAACAAATCTATACCATGCCATCTGTCATGTCCAGTAAATCAGCTGTGTCCTCAAAGAAACTAGATTTTCTAAACCCGGCTAAGGGTCTGATTAAGCCAAAACATTTGCAGGAGAACAAATTGCTGTATCTGGGACTGCTTGCATCTGAAAATCCCACTACATACCACCCTCCCAGGCAGAGTGGTCAGCTTCCACCTCATGGAGGTTGAATGGGCGACTGGACACAGAATCAGTAGATCCAAGGATCATGCATACGAATCTCAGAGACTGGCCTTAAGTGCATCCTCTCTGAACTGGTTTCTTCTGGATGGTTTGTCTTCTGCGTTTTGGTTTCGTCCCTCTTAGTAAGTTGCAGTGTGACCCCAGAAGGCTTTTCCTAGGACACCTGTTCTGCCTCTGCTTCTCATGAATCTACACAGGTATGAAAGTGCCTGTAGAAACCTGTTCTGAGACCGGAGAACACAATTTCGCCTCCATGTACCTTACTGTGGCAGTGATATGTATTTGTTGATGTCACAGACACCTAAAAGTCTTCCGGTCCCAGCTATGATCTACAAACAGCCCTAGACTTCCTGGGGGTTTTCACTCCACTCTAATGATGCTCCAGGTTATGGCTCCACTCACCAGGAGGTCTCCTCATGCTCACAGAAATATGCAGGTCCCGAGGGCTTGTCCACTTATTTCTTTTGGTTTTTGTTATTTTTTGGGTTTGTTTGTTTTGTTTGGTTGGTTGCTGTTTTTGGTTTTTTTTGGGGGGGGTTGTCCTGGAACTAGCTCTTGTAGACCAGGCTGGTTTTGAACTCACAGAGATCCGCCTGCCTCTGCCTCCCGAGTGCTGGGATTAAAGGCGTTCGACACCACCACCCAGCTGTCCTCTTATTTCTAATACTAATACCTAGTTCTGAGAGTCACGGCCTTTAGGATTAACCAAATGTAAAAGCAAAAAATAAAATGCTTATTACCTATGGGATTTATAGAGAAAGAAACCAGACTTGTTAGTATCCTGTTTAGGTGCGAGAATATAATGGTATTCTGGGAGCTTTTCTAGCCTTGTTCTGTTGTCTCCTGTGTTTTTTGCCCTGTGTTTATCTTTCCATAACCCTGTGTACCGCTCCATGGTGTATTAGATATCACACTGCTTTCTAAATCTCCATTCATGTCTGTCTCTCTGACTAGCTTTGCATGGATGAATTTAATTAAATGATTAGTTTAAAAATCTATTAAAGCCTATAATTTATAGCATTAAGACTATTTAGTTATATAAGTTGACACGACAGTTGTATCCTTTATTTATATTAATGGATGATTTGTTCCTCAGTCATTTTGAGCTAAATGACTCTAGATTTAATTGTCTTTATGCTTTAGATTGAAGAAATGTCTTGCTTCTTTTATTCAGAATGGCACAGCAGTCATTTGGGAAACTGACTGTCCAGCTTATCCATCTAAAATCCCAGTATCAGGCTGGGAGGTAAGCTAGTGTAAAAGCATTTACCACACAAGCATGAGGACCTGAGTTCAAATTCCTACATAAAGCCAGATGGCCAACTCAGACAAGGTAGAAAGCAAAGCCAACAGCAGAGGATGTCCTCTAGCCTCCATACTGACATTGTGGCATGCTTGTGTCCTCACAGACAACCATGCCTGTGTACTCTCTCTCTCTCTCTCTCTCTCTCTCTCTCTCTCTCTCTCTCTCTCTCTCTCTCTCTCATACACACACACACACTCATAACATTTAAAATAATTTATCATTGATAATTACAATAATAAAGATCACCACCTTACCTCCCCTCCTCTCTTCAAATCATCCTTTAGAAACCATCACTTCATCTTAATAAGTTAAAAATTGAACAAACAAAGGAGTGTCTCTGAGGTTAAAAGCACTTGTTCCTCTTGCAGAGGACTTAGAATCAGTTCCCAGTATCCATGTGGTGGCTACTACCATCAATAATTCAAGTTCCATGGGATCTGATATCCTCTTCTAATCTTCAAGGGTACCAAGCATTCATGAGTTGCACATGTAGGCAAAACAGACGCATAAAATAAATAAATCTAAAAAAGACCAAAGTAAAACAACTTTGTAGAGAATGGGGAGAAGGCCCAATTGGTAGAGTGGGTGCCATGCAAACACGATAATCTGAGTTTGAGCCCCAAAACTCACATAAAAAATCCAGGTGTAGTGGCACAGACTTACTATCTTAGCACTACAGAGACAGAAACATGCAAACACCAAGGCTTGCTGGTGGCTTAGGCAACTTAGCAAGCCCTGAGCTGATGAGAGACCCTATCTCAAAAACAAAGCTAAACCCCAAGGTGGATTGTTCCTGAGAAACAACACCACAATTGCCCTCTAACCTCGATACATGTGAACACACATGTAACGTTACACACAGCCACATATACACATGTACCCACATGAACACACACTCACAGACACACATATACAAAACAACTACCAATAACAAACAAATAAATAAAAACAATCCACAGCTCTCTGTGAGCATTATTAGGAAGCTAAATGTTTGGGGTGGCTACTGGCCCTGGATCCATTCTTCTTATGTATCTAACATTGTCTGGTTGGTTTCCATGCACAGAGATGTGACAGAGAGGTGGACAGAATGTGAGACCCAGAGAATGACAAGGAGTGCTGTGAAATGCTGTCTTTGGGGCATGACATGGTCATTGCATCCATGAGCTCCCTGCAGCTGTAATCGTCTGCACAAGATCAAGTCAACATTCTAACAGGTAATACCAAGTGGGCTCAGTGGGTTATTCACCAAAAATGGAGAGGACATTAAGCAGGGAAGGGTGTGTTGGAGGTGTCTTGGGGGAGAAGAAAGAGGAAGAAGGAGCTGGGGGTACACATGATCCATTCGAGAAATTGTCAAAGAATAAATAAAAGATACTCTTTTTTTTTTTTTTTTGGTTTTACGAGACAGGGTTTTTCTGTATTGTTTTGGAGGCTGTCGGTCCAGCCTGGCCTCGAATTCACAGAGATCCGCCTGCCTCTGCCTCCTGAGTGCTGGGATTAAAGGCGTGCACCACCACCGCCCGGCAAGATACTCTATTTTTTAAAGGAAGAGAAATGATTATGGAATCACTGTTGGTATATAAGCAATTACTGGTTCTTTTTTTTTTTAATAAACATTGTATCCTGAAACTTTGCTATAACCCATTATTGGTTCCGGTTTTGCACTGATGATGATGATTCTTGCAGTTTTCTTTGTGTGTATGTGTGTGTGTGTGCTTTTCCTATGTGTACATGTGAAGGCATGTATGCATGTGTGTAGGCATACTTTTGAGGTCAGAGGTTAACACTGGATATATTCTTCAATAGCTCTCCATCTGATTTTCCCCCAACTTTTCCAGTCAGTTTTTATTAGTAGTTTCATCATAATTTTCAGGGCCCTGGGGTAGGAACCATCATATACCCAGGTGTATTACTATGGGTTCTCTAGAGTAACAGAATTATAGAATGAATATATATGTATATATATTATACATGCATATATGTGTGTAGGAGAAAGATCACATACTCAAGATACATGGGGGTACATGGGACAAGTGAGGAATAAAAGGGGAAGGGAAAGCAAATCTCTCTCCTTTGGATGCTGGCCACATTTCCGAGGGCTTCTTGTGTAAGTGATTTCTCCTGGTAATAAATATCCTTGTTTCCCCAATGCATTGATTCTTCATCATATATATATATATACATATATGTGTGTATGCATATATTTACATATATTTATATTCCACATTATATGTATAAAGGGGATTTATTCAAATGACTTAACAGGTTGTAGCCCAGCTAATCCAACAATGACTGGCTGTGAATGGAAAGTTCCAAGACCCAGGAGCTAGTTGCTCAGTGCAGGAGGCTGGGTTCTCAGCTGGTTTTCAGTATATACTGGAATCCTGAAGAAGTAGACTCTAAAGCCGGTGAAGCAATGGACTTGTTAGCAAGTGAGAGCAAGCAAAGTAAAAGCTTCCTTTTTCTATGTCCTACTATAGGCTTCTAGCAGAGGTGTGTCCCAGATTAGATCTTGATTAAAGATTAGATTAAAAGTGTGACTTCCTACCTTAAAGATTCGGATTAGAAGTTTTTTTGAGACAGGGTTTCTCTGTAGCATTGGAGGTTGGCCTGGAGCTCTCTCTGTAGACCAGGCTGACCTTGAACTCACAGAGATCCACCTGCCTCTGCCTCCTGAGTGCTGGGATTAAAGGCATGTGACACCAACGCCTGGCCTAGAAGTAGATTTTACCTCTTCAAATTAAGCAGAAATTCTTCACAGGTGTGCCCTCTGTTTTGGGTTTTTAATTAATTATAGATACAATCAAGTTCACAACCAAGAATAGCCACAATAAGTCCATCCCTTGTCAACTTGACACACAATCATATCTTCTTAGGTCATGAAAATTCCCAAATAAAAACAATAACCAGGTAATAAAAACACCTAACCATAATTATCCCATGAACAATTGCAAATGCCATTATATATTTAACCAGGCCTAATTACGCCTAACATGATGTAACTATTCCTTGTACAACCACAAATGCATTATAATTTTAGAATAGGTAGTAATGTCCCATGAGGGATATTCTTTTAGTATCTCTAACTTAAAATATGACAAACATTGATATTCTTGTAGTTGATGTTTCATCTCATGATAAAGAAACTTAAGAAGAAAGAGAACACAAATATCTGTACAAACACATTCTTAAGAAAATATAACAGAAACATTCATGTCAATTGTAATCCTCTTTTCTGAAACTGACCACATGGTCTTAGCTGGTGTTTATAACTACCTTCCTTCATTACCCATTGCGTATTTCCTCCATTCTCAGAAAGAACCTCAGCAGATCTTGGCTCTTTTCCAGGAAGAGTGACTCATACCCTCATTCCTGATGGGTCTCTGCACTTTGTCACCCTGCTTAGACTAGGCTGTTGTAGTTTCCCACTGACTTGAATCACAGGGTGCGGTAGTACCAAGAAATGACGTATAGGATCTACACTCCAGATGTAATCCTTCCTACCTCCACTGTGGTGAAGCAATCCAATTTCCCCTTGGGAATCTAGATCTATCACTCCTCCTAACACTGCTACTCCTTTCTTTTTTTTTTTTTTTTTTTTTTTGGTTTTTTCGAGACAGGGTTTCTCTGTGGCTTTGGAGGCTGTCCTGGAACTGGCTTGGTAGTCCAGGCTGGTCTCAAACTCACAGAGATCCGCCTGCCTCTGCCTCCCAAGTGCTGGGATTAAAGGCATGCGCCACCAACGCCCGGCCCTGTTACTCCTTTCTTAACCTGTTGGTTTAAGGGCAACAGAAGCTAAAAGTGACCAGAGGAAAGTCTCAGCTTCCAGTTCACTGAAATGTTTTCTGTGGCTCCTGGCAGGAACACTCACACTTCTGGAACCAAAATTTATAGGCCAGCAGAATTTAAGGTCGTGGGAATAGAAAGAAAAACTTTTCTAGTGGGCCACTAGGGGTGATAGTGAGTGGAACTATTTCTTTTTCCACTGCTTGGTTCCTGGACCCATGGATCCTGGCTATGGGAGAAACTGTATCATATATTAGACACTTATGCAAAGCATATACCACCTTCTGGAGGACACGCCCGAGACCTCCAGGCTGCTGCCACCTAATTGGAATTATAACTATATCTTCAAAAGACCAGTCCATCTTTCTATCATTCTAGCTGCTTCAGGATGGTGGGAACATGGTAAGATCAGTGGGTTCCATGGTCATGAGCACACTGTTACACTTCTCTGGCTGTGGAGTGAGTGAGTTCCTTGGTCAGAAGCAGTACTGTATGGAATACCATGATAGTGGATGTGGCATTCTGTAAGTCCATGATGGTGGACTTGGCAGAAGCATTACATGCAAGAAAGGCAACCATAACCAAAATAAGTATCTACTCCAGTAAGGATAAAGTATTGTCTTCTCCACAGAGGAAGTAGTCCAATGTAGTCAACCTGCCACCAAGTTGATGACTGGTCACCCCTGGGAATGGTGACATATCCAGAGCCCTGTTAGGCTCTGCTGCTGGCAGATGTGGCACTCAGCAGCAACTGTAGACAGTTCAGCCTTGGTGAGCAGAAGTTCATGTTGTTGAACCCATGTATAACCACCATCTCTGCCACCATGGCCACTTTGTTTATGGACCTATTGGACAATGACAGGAATAGCTGGGTAAAGAGGCTAACTGTCCACAGAAGGGGTCATCCTATCTGCTTGATTATTGAACTCCTCCTCAGCTGAAACCAACTTTTGGTGAGCATTTACATGGGACACAAGTATCTTCACATCCTTCACCCATTTGGAGAGATCTATCCACATTCCCCTTCACCAGTTTTCCAATCATGCTCTTTCAGTCAATAGTCTTTCATCCAGTCAATGCATTGGCCACAGCCCATGAACCAGTGAACAATCACACATCTGGTCATTTCTCCTTCCAAATGAATGATCATTCTGTTTGTACTGCCCAATGTTCTGCCCACTTTGAAATTTCCCTTCACTGGTGTCTTTCAGGGTTGACCAAGAAAGGAGTTGTCATGCTGCAGCTGTCCACATCTTGGTGGTACCTGCATAATGTGCAGAACCGTCAGCAAACCAGGCCCTAGTCTTTTCTCCCCCGGTCAACCAATCATTGTATGTAGGTGTATGGTTGGCAGCAGACAGCATTGTAATAGGAGTAAAAACCTATAGGCATTTGGGCAACGTCTCCATGTAACTAACCTTCTTGTGCCTTCAGAATCTGCTCAGGCCCAATCTCATATATACCGCTTTCATTTGATAATAAATTGCTGCTGTGCATATCCTACCTTATGACTTGGTGGGTCAGACAACACCCAGCTCATGATGGGCAGTTCAGGTCGCATAGTAACTTGGTGGATCATTGTCAAATGTTCAGTTTCCACTAAGGCTCAATAGCAGGCCAAGAGCTGTCTCTCAAAGGAAGAATAGTTGTCTGGAGATGATGACAGAGCCTTGCTCCAAAATCCTGAAGGTCTCTTCTGTGATTCACATATAGGGTCCTGCCGAAGGCTCCAAATAGTATCCCTCCCTATCTGCAACTGACACTCAAGTACCATCTGGTCTGCTGGATCATATGGTTCAAGAAACCTGAACCTGTTGAAGAACCTATTCCAGGCCCCACAAAAGTTAGTAGCCTTCCAAGTCACTTGTTATATGGGCTCACCCAAGTGAGCGACATGCTGTTCCCAGAATCTAAATAGGCCCACTAAACATTGTGCTTCTTTCTTGGTCATGGGAGGGGTCAGTTGCAATAAGTTACCCTTCACCTTAGATGGAATATCTCTGCATGCCCCACACCACTGGGCTCCTAAGAATTTCACTGAGGTAGAAGGTCCTTCAATTTTTGGTTGTATTTATTTCGTATCCTCTGATGCATACATGTGTTACCAACAAGTCAAAAGTGGCTGCTATCTCCTGCCCACTTGGTCCAATCAGCATAATGTAGTCAATATAGTGCATAAATGTGACATTTCATTGAAGACACAGATGATCAATATCCCTCTAAGTTGTGACACAGGGATGGAGAGTTACTATATCCTTGAGGTAAAACTGTGAAGGTATACTGTTGGCCTTGCCAACTGAAGACAAATTGCTCCTGGTGGTCCCTATGAATAGGTACATTTGATAGATAAATAACTGCATACCATGTACCAGGCCATGTGTTAATCTGCTCAAGTACATCAGTTACTATCAGAGTCACTACTCGATTGAGTTTTCAATAGTAAACTGTCATTGTCCATGATCCATCTGTCCTCTGCACTGGCCAGACAGGAGACTTAAAAAGAGATATGTTGTGAATCACCACTCCTGCATCTTCCAAGTCTTTGATGGTAGCATTAATTTCTGCAGGGATGCAATACTGTTTTTGGTTCACTATTTTCCTTGACAGAGGCAATTCTAAAGGCTTCAGTTTAGTCTTTCCAACCTTGATAGACTTCACTCCACAGGTTAGGAAACCAACATTTAGTTCTATCTATCCCAATTACACATTTTGGGACTTGGGAAATAACCACAGGACGAATTGGGGACCCACTGGACCTATCGTGAGTTGAACTACAGCCAAAACTCATTAATTACCTGACCTCCATGAGCCCCTGGTTTATCTAGAGGGACACAGTGTTTCTCGGGATCTCCCAGAATCACTGTTAATTCAGAACTGATCTCCAACAGATCCTAGAAAGTCTGATTATTTCCTTTCCCCTAGTGTACAGTTATCCTTGTAGGTCCCTCTGGGGAAAGACTGGAGAAATGCTAACAGTAAAACTCTTAGGTATTTTATCTAGGTCCTTCCTCAGGGGAAGCTGGCTATCCCTTCATTGAAGGGTTTCTGGGTCTACAAACGGGCTCAAGTCTGGAAATTCATTCACAGACCATGACTCCCCTTTGTCATGATTCAATAGAGCCTTTCTTTCATTTGATACATTTTCTGCTTATACAGATCAAACAAAAATTCAGTAGGATTCTTTTCTGTCCCATGCCTGGTAACACTATGATTGATTAGCCAGTACCACAAGTTCATACAAATTGTGCTACTATAAATTCACCTTGCCTATGCTGACCACTACAGGTTAGACCTTCATGGCCATTGCTTTGTCTGTGCTTACCATTACAATAACTAGGATTACCTTGCCTTTGGTAATTCAGTTCCTGCTACCTCAGGGATCAATTAAATCTGTTGCATTTAATTCATCCAGTTGAACAGCAGCGTCTCCGGCACAAAGAAAAAGGTGACAACAAAATTCTTCAAACGTGCTGGTGCCTGCCCCCTCACTATTTTGTGTCTTATAGGATTAGTGAAGAGTATGTCTTCTGGGCCTTCCCGCTGTGGAATACTAGATTTTACACAGCATACCCATTCTAGCATTGCAATTTACCTCAATTTCTTCCTTCCTTCCTTCCTTCCTTTTTTTTGTTTTGTTTTGTTTTGTTTTTCAAAACAGGTTTCTCTGTATTGCTTTTGGAGTCTATCCTGGAACTTGTTCTGTATACCAGGCTGGCCTCAAACTCACAGAGATCAGCCTGCCTTTCTCCTGAGTGCTTGGATTAAAGGTGTGCTTGAATGACTTAGCAAACTCATTAAGCTCTTTAGTGGTGTAGCACTCTTCCTCTTGGACTACACTTTCTACCCTCCACCCCCCAAGGAGTCTGCTTTGTCTTGAGTCTGGCTATAGGTCTAGAGACAACTATTGGTGGGTCCTGAGGGACATCAGAACTATATTGCCTGGCATTTGCTTCAGAGAAAGTCATTGATGGTTTAGCAGACAATGAAGGACAACTTTCCTCAGCCAAAAATGAAAAGGGAATGTATCAAGGGTGGAACTGAGGGCAAAGAGACTACTTCCTCTGGAGTCTGAGGGATCAAGGTTCTCAGCTTCAATAGCGACCTCCCACATATCTTTGTCACAAGTCACAGGATCCTATTCTTTACTGATCATTGTCCTTACTTTAGCCACTGACACTCTCCAAGTCTGGAATTTGAGTTTTTCCTGTAATTCAGCCAACATTATAATGAAGGCTTCGGTTTGATTTTCCACAACTTGAGCTCTGTGACTGCTGCAGAGAAGATTCTCTTCCAGGGCACACTTAGAAACCTTTAGACTGTCTATACACATCTGCAGCCGGTCAGCTTTATCACTAAGTTCATTATTGTCCTTCACCATAGTCTGTGATGCTAGAAGTTGGTTAATTGTATCATGGAGCTCATTCCTGTCCTTTGTCAATTTATTCAGAGATGCTAAGAGTAAATGACCAACATCATCACTTTCCTTAAACTGTCAAAAGTTTTATATACATAGTCAACAAATCCATTGCTGTATACAGTTGGTGGATCAAGACATTCAAATGCATTTATCTCCTTAAGTTTGTAAAATAGTCCATCCCGTGGGCTTTCAGTACTCTCTGAGCTCCCAGGAAAGGCTTCAGAGACTGGAGAGACTTCGGTAACCTCAGGCATTGGCAAATTGGAAAGCCTATTTCAGATACATAAAAAATTAGTGCTTATACCTCTGTAGCTCTAGAACTACTTCCGGTACCAGTGAGGGTTGGCTAGAGTAATAGAATGTATAGAATGAACACACACACACACACACACACACACACACACAGAGAGAGAGAGAGAGAGAGAGAGAGAGAGAGAGAGAGAGAGAGAGAGAGAGAGAGAGAGAGAGAGAGAGAGAGAGAGAGATTAGAATGACACAGTCTGTGACCCAGCTATTCCAACAAAGATGGCTGGCTATGAATGGAAAGTCCAAGAATCCAGTAGTTGCTCAACCCACGAGGCTGGATGTCTCAGCTGGTTATGCTGGCATCCTGAAGAGGTAGGCTCTAATGCCAGTGAAGGGATGGACTTGCTAGTAAGGTGAGAGTAAACAAATAAAGAACATGAGCTTCCTTTTTCCATGTCCGTATATAGGCTTCCAGCAGAAGGTATCACCCAGATTAGGTCTGGATTAAAGATCTGGACTAAAGGCGTGTCTTCCCACTTCAAATTAAGTAGAGATCTCTCACAGGTGTGTCCTACATTTGGGGGCTTAGTTAATTCCAGATGTAGTCAAGTTGACAACCAAGAGTAGCCATCATATCTGTGTCCCCCTTTACTATCTGGGGAGAAAGACTGAAGGCAGAGGAGAGGGACAGAGGCAGGCCAGATCTTTTCAGGAAATGTGCCTTCTGCTCTAAGGTCAACCCAGGCTGAGGCCTAGGATGTGGAGCTTGTTCACATGTGGGTACCACTCACACAGACATCACTCCTCTTTGCGATTTGCAGCCATTGCCTTCCCACAGCGGTGGAAGTCTAGGTGGTTCTGCCAGCAGTTCCTGACCTTCTGGTTTGGGAAGCAGCTGCCAAAGGGGAACAGTCTCATAGTTCTTGATTTTAGTCGTTATTTCTTTTTTTTTTTTTTTTTTTTTTTTTGGTTTTTCGAGACAGGGTTTCTCTGTGGCTTTGGAGGCTGTCCTGGAACTTGCTTGGTAGTCCAGGCTGGTCTCCAACTCACAGAGATCCGCCTGCCTCTGCCTCCCGAGTGCTGGGATTAGTCGTTATTTCTTTAGCCAAGGTGCTGACTCCTAAAGACAGCTCTAGAGAAGCAAGAGTTTAATGGGACCCTTAGCAAAGATGCCAATCTCTCCATCTTATTTTTTTTTGAGACAGCCTCTCTCACTGAAACCAGAGCTCACCAATTCCGATTCAAGCCCCCAGGACCTGCCAGTCTCTGCCTCCACAGCACTGGAACTGCAGGCATGTATCAACCATGGTGATTATCTTTTTGGTTTGGTTTGAGACAGGGTTTACCTATTTAGACCAGGCTGGCCTCAAACTCACAGAGATCCATCTGACTCTGCCTCTTGAATGCTGGGATTAAAGTTCTATGCTCCCACACCCAGCTCATATCTGGCTTTTAAAAGTGGGTCTGCTTCAACCAATGACTGATGGGAGCAGAGGCAGACACCCACAGCTAAACACTGAACTGAACTCCTGAAACCCAGTGACAGAGAGCGAGGTCTGATGAGCAAAGGGGTCAAGACTAGGCTTGTTTAACCCATAGAAACAGCTGACCTGAACAAGAGAGAGCTCTTGGACCCCAGACTGATGGCTGGGAGGCCAGCATGGGACTGATCCAGACCCCCTAAATGTGGGTGTCAGTGAGGAGGTCTAGGCAATCTATGGGGCCTTGGGTAGTAGATCAGTATTTATCCCTGACATACAAATGGACTTTAGGTGCCCATCTCACAATGAAGGATGCTCTCTCAGCCTGGACACTTGGGGAGGGCCAAGGCCCTGCCCTGAACAAAATGACACACTCTGGATATCCCCCATGGAGGACCATGGATGGGGGACTGAGGGGGTTGGTAGGGGGGAATGGGAGGAAGGGAGGGAGAGGGAGTTGGGATTGACATGTGAAGCAACCTTGTTTCTAATTTAAATAAAAAATCTTTTTAAAAAGTGGGTTCTGGAGGATTAAATTTAGATAGACCCTCATGATTGCTCAGCAAACACCTGAGCAACTGAGTCATGTCCTCAACCTTCACTTCCTGTCACTTGTTGATCAATAATTTTGTTTCTTCTTTCCTAGTCTACATATTATGTACTTTCCATTTCCTTTCCTTTTGAGCCTCCCCAGGATCATTGACGGGGATGGTCTAAGTGAGTATTAGTGCATGGCCCCTGAATTTAGTGGGAACTTCACCACATTCTTATGTTAGTTAAAGTTTTTTTTCCCCATTATCATTGCTGCACCCTCTCCATTGACCTGGGTGCTATTTAGAAATATGCCATTTAATCTTCACGTGTGTGTGAGGTTTCCTTCTGTAGTTAGACTTTAAATACATTGTGATCCTAGAGCACACATTTTATCATTTTTATTCTTCAAATTTCATTAGTGTACATGTCACAGCACAAAGAGGTAGTCTTTCTTGATGAGTGTTCCATGTGTGCTTGGCAACAATCCATATTCTACTTTGAAGTATTCTAGATATGCCCGTTAGGTCCAGCTGGCTGATTTGTTGTGGTTGTGGAGGTCATCTGTGTCCTTACTTTCTTCCAGTCGGACCTGCTCATTCTGGACAGATGGGCGTTGAGGTCCCCACTCCCACTCCAGCGCTGGGTCCATCTGTTCTTTCTTGCAGTCCTATCAGATTTTGCCTCACGTATTTCACTACTCTTTTGCTTTGTTAAGAATTGTGATATATTCTTTGAAAATCAGCATTTCTATCATTATGTAATGCTCCTCTCTATCTCAATAGCTTTTGTCTAATCTAAAAACTTCTTTGTGTGAAACTGATACAGCTATTTCAGGTTGGTGGCATGGCTACTGTAGATACGTCACATCAGTGCACAGCCTTGCTGCTTACATGGTACCTAGCCATTCTCTCTTAGTCTCTATCTAAATCGGTTTTGTTTGCTTGAGACATTATATAGTGGAATCTTGTTTTTTAATACACTCTGTAGTCTTTCTCTTTTAAAAATGTATATTTAGACAATTGGTATATAAAATAATTGTTGATATTTTCAGATTCAAGTCTTTGTTATTATATTCTGCTTGTTTTGTTTAGCTTTTATTGCTTTCAACTTCTACTCCTATTTTGGCCTTCATAGTTTTAACTGAACATTTTATGTAAAACTATTTTTTTATTTTTGAGACAGGGTTTCTCTGTAGCCTTGACTGTCCCAGAACTCACTCTGTAGGTTAGGTTGGCCTTGAACTCAGAGATCCACCTGTCTGGATCCCAAATGCTGGGATTAAAGGAGTGTGCCACCATCTCCCGGCCATGTAAAACTATTTTTAAATATGTATTTATTTTTATTTATGTTGATATGTACTACATGCCAGAGGAGACTAGAGGACATCAGATCTGTTGGAACTAGAGTTATAGACATTTGTCACCCACGTGTAAGTGCTGGAAATTGAACCCAGCTGTTCTGGAGGAGCAGCAAGTGCTTTTAACAGTCGAGCCTTCTCTCCAGACTACCTTTTCCTGTTTAAGTAGTTGCCCTTGAGTTTATGATATTCATTTCTGATTATCCTAGTTTCTTTCTATATAATACTGTCTCTTCATAACAGAAATACTTTAATAAAGTATGTGGATTTTTTAATATGAAAATAGATCTGGGATTGGACATTAGCAAAAGGTAAAAATGTAAAATAACAAAAATCTGAGTTCATCAGAATTACCTGATTCTCAAACATACATATGCACCTAATAACAAGCTTCAGAGTCTCGAATCAGGAATGCACAGGCTTAGAGAGTAACAGATAGCTCCACAGTCATGGCTAGACGTTCGACATGGCTTGCTGAGTGACAGAGTGACTAGTCATGCAATGACGATGATCATGCCATGACTAATCTAAAAAAAATCTCCCACCCTAGAAACTCTATCCACATAGATAATTTGTTCACAAATTCTGTGCATTGGAATTCTGTGCAGCAAAAACTCCAATGAAATTGTGTTCTCTAATTGCAATGGAATTGAGTTATAAAATTAGAAACAATAAATGTGTAGAAGAGAGTTACACACTCCTGCCACAGAAGCAGGTAGGATGACTGCAGATCCTCCAGATCCAATTCCCCAGTTTCATCCCCAGCTCTGCAGCTAAACACCCACTGCCGCCTCCCTTCCCCAAATGTACCCGTCTCCAGTGGATCCCAGGATCTTCTCCTCCAACCCCACCACACCCATTGCTTTATTCCAGCCCCCAACTCCAAGCAGGCACTCCCGGGGAACACACGGGTCACTCTGACCAGGGAAACAGGTAGGCTGATTGCAAATCCTCAACTCTCCCTCTGCTCCTCCAAATGCAGTGCCCCAGTCTCATCCCCAGCCCTGTAGCAGATGTTCTGCTGTGGGCTCTCCTCATTCGCTGCACTCATTCTCAGGGAACTAAGCAGATCCTGATGGAACACCCAGCCTTCCCCCTTCAGTGGACCTCTTCACCCTGCCCCAGCCCATCCTTATTCCTAAGTGTCAGCTCCCAATACTTGGAAACACATTTTTATCTGGAGTCTTTAATACCCACACTTATCAGGATCCTTGAAGAATTTCCTACCAGGAAACACACAGCCACCATACTCTCCTAAAAACCAGAGAGGAAGCAAAAACCAAGGAACAAGATGGCGGGAGCAAACTTGTACAGCCTCTGTAGAAATCAGTGTAGTGGTTCCTCAGGAAAATGAGAGTCAATCTACCTCAAGGTCCAGATAGACATACCACTCTTGGGCATATTCCCAAGGATGCTTCCTCCTACCACAAAGACACTTGCTCAACCCTCTTCATTGCTGCTCTATTCAAAATAGCCAGAAATTGGAAACAATCTAGATGTCTCTCAACAGAAGAATGGATAAAGAAAATGTGTTACGTTTACACAATGGAGTAGTACTCGGCTGTCAAAAAAAGATGACATCATGAAATTTGCAGGTAAATGGGATGAGACTAGAAAAAAACCATCCTGAGTGAGGTAACCCAGATTCAGAAAGACAGTATGGTGTGTATTCATTTATATGTGGATATTAGCTGTAAAGCCAGTGATAACCAAGCTTCAATCCATAGAGTCACGGAGAGGCTTCCAGTACTTGGACTGGGTTAAATCTAATTAAGATGTTGGTCAAAGGGGTCTCATAGGAATCCCCAAACAATCCAGGCTGTTGCCAAGACTACAGGTTTCCCTCCACAAAGTGAAAGCAAGGTCCTATTGCCGAAGCCAACACCTACACAACTCACTGAACATGAAAAGGTCCAGCTGGTACCTACATAGAGCTTTCAGCACTACATGCTAGTGTCTTTTGCACAGGAAGGTGCTCTGTATGCCACCAAAGGAGAAACAAACACCAACCCAGTCACAAACCCTCTAATCTACAATGGTGTCCTGCCTGCTAGAGCAATGGTGGTGCAAAGCTTGTGGGAGTAACCAACCAATATCTGATTTGACTGGAAGCCCATACCACGAGATGGAGCCCATAGCTAGCACTGCTTGGGTGACCAAAAACCAGTGACTAGGGACTTGGGCTGAAACCAAATACTATCATTCTAAAAAACAAACAAACAAAAAGTAACGATAAAATGACTCCTAATGACATTCTGTTATACTCATAGAGGGGTGTCTCACTCAGCCATCATCAGAGAAGCTTCTCAGGAACAAATAGAGAGACCCACAAGCCAGACCTGCACAGTGAGTGAGAGGCCTCAGAACAGTCGTTGGAAGTCCCCATCAAATCCCTCTCTTCAGGGCTCAATGAACCCCTTGCAAGAAGAGATGGAAGAAACAGTGTAAGAATCAGAGGGGATGGAGGATACCAAGGAAACAAGCCCGTCTAGATTAGTATGATCAAAGCTCATGTGGATTCAGGGTCTGAGGAAGCATGCACAGGGCTTACACAGTCTGCACCAGGTCCTCTGTGTATATATTACGGCGTCCAGTCTATGTTTTTCTGGGACTCCTGAGTGTTCCAATAGGTGGGTTCTGAGTCTTGTGCGTTTTTCCTTCTCTTCATTTGTGTTGTCCAACTTCACTGTGATAGTTTTGTTTTAATTATATTTAATTGTGCTATATTTTATTATTTTCCCTTAGAAGCCTGTTTTTGTTTTTTAATGAGAGTCAGAAAGGAAGTGGATCAGATGGGAGGAGATGGGAGGAAGAACTGGGAGGAATAGAGGGCTGGGAAACCGTAATCAGAGTATATAATTGGGGGGATCTATTTTCAATAAAAAGGAAAAAGAAAGAAAAGACACATTTAGAATCTATACAGTACTCTTATTAATATGGGTCAGAGAAGAAACTGTGGAAATTAGAAAACACTTGGACTGAATGATAACATCGATGAGCAAGCAGAGCTGAGTTTCATAAAAATGGAAGTGCTTACGTTCCTATAAAGGGAAAACTTAAGAGTCCAAGTGGTGGCACACACCTGTAATCCCAGCGCTCAGAAGATGGAGACAGGAGGAGTTTCAAGTTCCAAGTCAGACTTGGCTTCATAGCAAGGTCTTGCTGTAGGGGAGGGAAAGGAAGGAATGTATTAATGATCAAAGTTTTGGCTTAAAAGCTAGAAAAAAATGGAGTAAAATAAATAGAAGAAAAATAATAATGAGGAGAATAAATATAAAATACAAAAAACAGTAACACTGACATAGATAGTAATTTACTGAAAAGAGTAGGAAAAGGGCTGGAGAGAAGGCCCAGCAGTTAAGAATACTGGCTGCTCTTCAGGAGGACCTGGGTTCAAGTCCCAGCACACACACACACCACACACACACACACACACACCACACACCACACACCACACACACCACACACACACACACACACACACACACACACACACACACACACACACACACACACACAGAGCAGCTCAAAACCACCTGCAATTCCAGTTCCAGGAGATCAGACGCCCTCTTCTGGCCTCCTCAAGCACCATATACACATGGTACGTAGCCATATGCAGTCAAAACACCTGTACATATACAGTTAAAGGTTTATAAAAGTAAAAAGAGAAGAGTAAGACAACTTACTAGTCCTTAGCAAAGTTCATTTAAAAGAGAGGAAACCCCCCAAAATTATAAAAAATCCAAATTTTAGAAAGTGACTATCGCTATTATGATCAGTATTCAAAGGCTTTACAAGCTACTTTATATTATGATATTAGAGCCCTGCTAAAGGGGACAAATACCTTGAAAATGTTCACTAGCTAGACCAGAAGGGGCCTGAGAGATGGCTCAACAGTTAAAAGCACTGGCTGCTCTTCCAGAGGACCCAGGTTCAATTCCCAGCACCCACATGGCGGCTCACAACTGTTCGTGACTCCAGTTCCAGGGGATTTGGTACCCTTACACAGACATACATGCAGGCAAAACACCAATGCACATAAAATAAAAATAAACACAGTCTTTAAGAAAGTGTTCTTTAGTTAAAAAATAATGTAGGAAATAGAAGCTATGGTGGCTGGTCAGCAGTGAATTGTACTTGCTGTTCTTGCAGAGGACTCAGGCGTGGTTCCCAGCCCTCAAGGCAGCTGCTCTCCAGTTCTGGGAACTCTAATGCCCTCTGAGGTGTCCAACTGCACCAGCTATGTGGGCAGTTCACTTACATATATGGAAGCACCCACACATACATACGAAATAAAATAAGATTTATCTTAAAAAGAAAAGGAAAATACAAGTAATGCTACTGCCGAATACTGTCAATCATTTAAGAAAGAAATATAAATATTCTTATACAATTTCCTCCAGAGGCTTGAGGTATATTTTCTTTTTAAAAAAATAATTATTGTGGTATATTTTCTAGAGCCAGGATGATAATGACATGTGAACTGTACAAAGTCAGTGTAGAAAACGAAACTGATGGGCTAATATCCCTTGTCAATCCAGACGCGGAAATATTACCAAATCAAATCTAGCAATATGTTAAAAAAAACAAGCCAAATGTGGCTTCAAGCAAGATGTAACATCTGAAAGCCTTCAATTTAATAGCATGAAAGAGAAAAACCACAGGATCACCTCCACAGATAAAAAAAAAATCACCTGACAAATTCTAACTGCCATTCATTAAAATTCTTAGCAAACTAGGAGTGGGAGGGAGTTTCATCTGAAAAGGGCATCTATTAAACTACAACAGGCTCCAAGAGATGACTCCACCTCCAGGCCCATGACCTCAGTTTGAACATTGAAACTCACATGATAGAAGGTGAAATCCAACTCCTGCAAACGGTCCCTACCATCACACATGTCCTGTGGCATGTGCATGTGTGTACACAACACTCAATAAAATAAATGTAATAAAAAGTGTAAAACTACCACAAACATCATCCCGAATGACCCAGAAATCTCAGTAGTAGGTATATACTCAGATAATAATATTTAATATTGATTTTTTAATACTTTCCTTATAAAGCTGAGAATAAGACAAGCATATTAGCTTTTTAAATCATTTCCATTTAATGTTGCACTAAAAAGCAGTTCCAGCCAGGGCAATTAAATAAGATCTATAATCAAAAGGCATTAAAGACTGAAAAAGAAAAAACTATGTTTTTTTTTGTTGTTACAGACAAAATGATTGCTTACATACAGAACTCTAAATAACGTATAATGATGTTATATGTAGGAATGAGTTCCACTAAAAATAGCATCCAAATGTTTGGGAAAACATTTACAGATGGTGTGTGGTACCTTGTGTAGTGGTGATCATGGAAGAGAAGGGTGGAATAGTGGTGTTGTCGGGGAAAGGGTGTTTGCACATCAGTGTTGGGAATGTAAATGTGTACAGTTATTGGGAAAAGTGTGGAGGCTCTACACAAAACAAAAGTAGACCTCTTAAATGATCCAGAAATCTTACTCTCAGGTTCAGACTCAGATCATCAAAGCTGGTGTTTAAAGGTAATTCTGTTTACGTCTACCATACAAAGGGAAGGAACTTTTTTTTTTTGAGACAGGGTTTCTCTGTGGCTTTGGAGGTTGTCCCTGAACTAGCTCTTGTAGATCAGGCTGGTCTCAAACTCACAGAGATCCGCCTGCCTCTGTCACCCGAGTGTTGGGATTAAAGGCATGCGCCACCACCGTCTGGCTAAAGAGAAGGCATTCTATCATTCATCAACACGTAGATGGACCTGGAGGACACTGTGCCAATGAAATAAGCCAGATACACCAAAGGGAAGGAATATAGATAGCATGGTCTATGGCAGTGAGTCTCAACCCTCCTAGTGCTGTGACCCTTTAATACAGTTCCTCATGTTGTGGAGACCCCCAAACATAAATTATTTTTGCCGATACTTCATAACTGTAATTTTGCTACTGTTATGAATCATAATGCAAGTATCTGGTATTTCTGACAGGTGTTCCATGTGAAAGGGTTGTTTGACCCCAAAGGGATCAGACCCAAAGGTTGAGAACCAGTGGTACAAAATCTCACCACCTCAGCCTTGACTCCAGGGGTAATCAACAGTATGTACAATGTCACTGTCTTGTGAATCTGGGCTTGTGCTTCTGGCCAGCTCTTTCCTGTTCCAAACACACTGTCTTCTTCTTCCTGGCTGCTCTCTGCAGTGACTACCTTAAATGATTCAGATGCAGGTGATGACTTAAGGTTATCTCCTAACCATGGGAGTACAAGGATACCTAGGAAAGGGCACACGATCTCACTGGCCCCACAGGTGCCTTCTACAGCCAACACCCAGTTTTCAGATATCCTCATGCTTCGTCAGCCCTTCTCCATGACCTGGTGGGATCTGTGCTGAGAACACTCACCTGGAAGGCCAGCGGTGTACCACGTCTCCGGACAGCATTGTGAGCTGCTTCTTGTAATGCTGGCATTATCTGAGCCAACCAGGGAGAAGCTGGGATATTGGACAGAAATCAGATTTTCTCGCTTTTTCTTTCTTTTTTCTTTTTTTCAGGCAGGGTCTCTATTGTGTAGCTCTGGCTGTCTCGGAACTCAATCAGTAGACTGGACTCTGGCCTTGGAGTCACAGAGATCTGCCTGCCTCTGCCTCCCAAGAGCTGGGACTAAAGGGGTGCGCCACCACACCTGGCTCTAGAAGTTACAGATTCTTAATAAACTGAATACTTTATTTGGGTACCAGAAACCTTACTTGAATCATCTCAGGCTTTAAGCAACACACTTCCTGGAAAAGTTTGCATCTCCCCCCCTCTCGACACCCAACACAAATGCACACACACACAATTTTATTTGGGGTTGTGGGTTCAGAAGTGAACTGAGACAAACGTGAAGAAGTTTGTTCAATTCTGTACTGTACTAGAAAGCTGAAGGCAGATGGAAATCCTAACTCTTGTTATAATTTTTCGTTGTTGTTGTTGTTTTTCGAGACAGGGTCTCACTACATAGCTCTGGAACTTACTGTGTAGACCAGGATAGCCTCAAACTCACAGAGATATGCCTGCCTCTGCCACTGGGATTAAAGGTGTCACTGTTCCTGATATGTAGATAAATTAGATAGATGTAGTGAAATTACTAAAATGCACAAATTAAGTTTCAGTATACAATCAGTTTTAAAACGCTGATGTAGGCAGATGAGGCCAGTGTATGTGGGTCCCCCCCCCCTTTGGTTTTTCGAGACAGGGTTTCTCTGTATTGTTTTGGAGACTGTCCTGGAACTCACTCTGTACACCAGGCTGGCCTCGAACTCACAGAGATCCGCCTGCCTCTGCCTCCTGAGTGTTGGGATTAAAGGTGTGCGCCACCAACACCCGGCATGTGTATGTGGTTTTGATACAGGATTTCTCTGTGTCCTGGCTCTCATGGAACTCACTCTGTAGAGCAGGCTGGCCTCGAACTCACAGAGATCCACCTGTCTTTGCTTGTGCATAGCCACGGCCTGACAAAGCCATTTATTTCATCATTTCCTGTTCTGGGTTCTCAGATATGGCTTGGCAGCGTAAAGACTATAACAATGACAAATTAAAGAAGAGGAGGAGGAAGAGGAAACGATGAGGAAGAGGAAGGAAAAAGAAGAGGATGCAGAGGAAGAAGAGGAAGTGAAAGAAAAGGTAGAAAGGAGGAGGACTCACTACAGCAGCCACCTTCTGAGGCAGCTCCTCCAGGGATGCAAGCTGAAACTCAAGTGTCTTCTAGCTGAGTGGTTGGACGCTGGGGCGGGGGTGGGGGGGTGGGCACACGCAGGTGTTCCTGTGACCAGCTCTGTGCTGTGTTCAGTGTGCGCAAATGTAGGTCTTTAGGCAGCGAGGGGTAGGTGTCCAGTGAGCTTAGTCTTTCCTTGATGGTACAAAAGTGTTCTGAACGGTATAGTAGCACAGATTTATCTTCTGTTACTAGGGTGACAATCATAACATTAGTCAAGGAATGAAGGGGTAGGCAGACTATCGAATATTATGAGTTTTTTAAATTCATGGACATATCCATGACTTGAAAGCTATAATAAAAATGTTATGATTCTTTAAAAAAAAAAAAGTTGTTGAAGTTCTGTCCTAAGACTATACTCCCCGCGACTGCGCTCCCAGGTTTCAGTGTAGGAAAGGGATTGGATGTGATCTGGCTCCTCCCAGAAAGAATGGTGCCCGCCCAAACTCCATAAAAGTTGCTTCGCGCGCGGGAGCGGGACTTTGGGAGCCTAAAAAGTCCGGTCAAGCACGGTGCCGCAGGACGGGCACCAAAGAAATTTGCTGGGCTGAGAAAACGTCTCTTTTTCGTGAATTCTGAGAAGCCGCGGGGTTCGGGATCAGTGCAACCATGAAGTCTCTGGGACCCAGAGTGCCCGCTGCCTCTGCGGCCTGGGCAGGTCACACCCCAGGGCCCAGCCTACTCCCGGGGCGCGGACCTAGGCCTAGGGTCCTGAAGACCGGCAAGTTACAAGTTGTCGTCGTCGTCGTTCTGCTACTGGTGAGTATCGTTGTCCGTCCGGGGAGAGGGCGCTGCCCGGGCAGAGCGCACTGCCCAGTACTGGGGCAGGAAGCCGGAGACAAGTGCCCGGCAGGTCTGGAGCGCACATGCCCTGGGGCACGCGCGCGCGCGCGCGGGAGGGGATTTCTGACGGCGTGCAGGGACACCACTGTGGAGGAGGGAGAACTCGACGGTGAAGGGTGGTTCGATGGTGGGGTGGGGGTGGGGAACCCGAAGTTGGGGTAGGGCAGATTGGGATGGAGAGGTGGGCGGAGGACTTAAAACTGGGGAGGATATGACGAGGCAGGCCTCCACGGGGGGGGGGGGGGGAGGACCAGACGGCAAGTGAGAGGACCCAAAGGTGGAAGGAGGAAGGATCTGACGTTAGGTGGGAGGCTGGGCCGGGGGAGGAGGGGACAGGGAGGGGAGAGGGGAGAAAGATCTAGGTGGGGCGCAGAGAGGCGGGAAGGAAGGACCCAGCTGACCCAGCAAAACTCACCTGGGACGAGGTGGCTGGTGGAGGGGGAAGGACCTGGTTACCCTTCAGGACCCACGGGACAGAGAGAAACTAGAAGCGGATGCGGTGGGAGTCAGAGCGTGGGGTTGGCCCTGCCTAGCTGCTGGCGCTGACCTCTGACACCTGCCTTCCCAAGGTTAGGAGAAGCAGCCCTGCCAGACATTAGCTTTATCTATGAGAACATGCACGTCACAGTCTCTCTTTTTGGCCTCTTGGGCTCTGCAATTCATTGGGTTTAGAAAGAGTAAAAAGGCCCCAAGAGACCTAGAATCTGGCCTTTTCCCATCTGCCAGCACGAGATTATTGAGGGGAATTCCAGTTTCTTGGAGTCCACTGTTTCTAATAATAGTCAGAGAGGCACACACTCGTCTCTTTAGAGACACTTATTTTATACATATTCACATATTAATTATATTTTACTATATATTCATTTTTGCCAGGCTGGTTGCAGTTCTCCACCTCCTGTTTTAGTACTGTCGGGGTGGAGCATGCCTATGTCTGAAAAAAAAGCAAGTGGAATAAAAGCAGGAACCAAGGTTGAGGCATGTTCAGTCAGTGCCAGGCAGCACTGCATAAGAACCGTTTTTTTTTTTTTCCATACTCTCTTGGCTCTTAGCTACTTTTGGTACTTCTTTTTTAGCTACTTGAAAAAACAAATAAAAGAAAGAGGAAAGAGAAGCAGAGGGGTGTTTGCCAGCATGGAGAGCTGGATGGAGGAGTGAGCAGTTTGTTATTTTAATGGGTACCGACTTTCAGTTTTGCAAGATGAAAAGAATTTTGGATTTTGTTTACATGACAGTATGAAAGCACTTAGCACTGCTGGCCTGTATGCTAACAGTGATTAAGATGAAGATGTTTTAATGTACTAAGCCGGGCGTTGGTGGCGCAGCCTTTAATCCCAACACTCGGGAGGGAGAGGCAGGTGGATCTCTGTGAGTTCGAGGCCAGCCTGGTGTACAGAGTGAGTTCCAGGACAGTCTCCAAAACAATACAGAGAAACCCTGTTTTGAAAAACCAAACCAAAAAAAAAAAAAAAAAAAAAGAAACACAATGTACTGGAAAGTTTTAGAAATGAGCGAGGGTCTAAGGTCCATGTCATTTTAGAAGCTGGAGGGAAGGGAATGAGAGATGGCCTTGGGATGGTCAGAGCCAACAGCCACTTAAGGCAATTCCTGCCTTGTTTCTGCAGAATTTGATAAATACAGTGACAGGCAACCCAATTCGTGACCGCCCAGCTGACCCACAGAGCCCATCAGATGGAACCTGTCAACCAGGTACATTCGAGATTGATTGCCAGTCTTTGGCCCCATCCTCTCACCCCCAGCTCCGCGTTCTTCCAGTCTTCTGGTCCTTTCAGTTCCAATTTCTTTTCTGCCATGGATACTTATTGATCATCTTCTAAATCCAAAGTCATGAAGCTTTATCTCCATGTTTTCTGTGAGTTGTGGTAGTTTCCATTTAGTTTCTTGAATTAATTTTATATGCTGTTTTTTTTTTTTTTTATTTTACACAAGTCTATCCAGTTCCTCTTCCTTCCCTTCCTTTCTTTTTTCTGTTTTATTTTGGGAGGGAAGGGATTGCAGGGGAGGGGTTGCAGGGGTGGAGGGCAGATGCAAAGGGATGGGGAAGTGAATGGACTCAAGATGCATGATGTGAAAGACCCTTGGAATAATAAAAAGAAAGGAAAGAAGCAGCAGAAAAAGAGGAGGAGGCGGAAGCAGCAGAGCAGCTGCTGCCCCTTCCTTTTGGCCATGGCTTCAGCCTCCTTCCAGGATTGAACGGAACAGGTTGCAGGTGCTGAGAAGGCACAGTTCCCATGGAGGGGACTCTGTGCTGGAGCCACCTATACTGAAGACAGCCCATCTCTGCTGAGTGCTGCAGACAGTGGTACTTTTTTTTTTTTTTTTTTTTTTTTTTTGGTTTTTCAAGACAGGGTTTCTCTGTGACTTTGGAGGCTGTCCTGAAACTTGCTCTGTAGACCAGGCTGGTCTGGAACTTACAGACATCTGCCTGCCTGAGTGCTAGGATTAAAGGTGTACACCACCAACGCCCGGCGACAGTGGTATCTTATATTCCTTCACTACACAGACCCTGTCACTAGGAACACTATCTACTACTCCAATCAGTGGAGGACCAACCTCTTTCACTGTGATAGGGATGTAGGCCTAAGGTCCTAGAAGAACTGGAAAGAGAACAGGTACTCAATTGCTTCATCTTGAGTTGGTTTTCCACCATCTGCCTATGTAGTTTACCAAGGTTCATACTATTCTTTCCTAATCCTCTCTTTTTATTTATTGAGGTTGGGGGTCTTACTATTTAACCCTGACTGTCCTGGAATGTGCTTATGTAGTAGACCAATCTTGTTCCTGAGCTCTAGGCTAACTAGGGCTACACAGTGAGACCTACAACCCCAGAAAAGCTAGGAAACAAGGAGGACCCTAAGAGAGACATACAAGGACCCCTGAGAAGGGCAAAGAGACAAGTTGTTCCTGAGTAAATTGCAAGTGTGGGGGGAGGGGGGAGGAAGGTAGGAGAGAGGAAAGGGGGGGGGAGAACATGAGGGATCAGGAAGGTAGAGTTGAGGGAAGAACAGAAAATGAGAGCAAGAAAAATGATACCTTAATAGAGGAAGTCATTATGGGCTTAATGAGAAACCCGACACCAGGGAAATTCCTAGGAATCCACAAAGATGACCCCAACTAAGAATCTAAGCAGTAGTGGAGAGGGGTACATTAAATGCCCCTCCCCTATAATGAGATTTCTTAAATGCTATTATAGAGCCTTCATTGTGGTGCCTGCGCCATGAGCGAGTTTAATATATTGGGTGAAAGCCTAGAGATTGAACTAAAAGACAAGATGTCTGGCTATTCGTGCTAAGAGGTCTCTATTGTAGAGAGGGAGCAGACTTATATAGGAGCAGACTTATATACAGGCTTATAGCACAGTGGAAAAACCCCAGGTGGAAGAGATCGTGTTTTCCTCATGCTAGATGTTCATGTCAGTGGGGCAAGGCCAGGGCAGTGAGCCAGGACTAGAAAACAGGATGCACTTGTTGGCTGACCAGCAACTTCACAGAGATCCCATGGGGGCTGGGACCCAACATCTTCCCCATCTTTATATATATATATATATATATATATATATATATATATATATATATATATTAGTGCCTGTCTCAGGTGACTAGGACATCAATGGAGAAATCACCCAGGCTGCATGACCCTCCTGTCTTATGTTGGCTGGCATCCCCTTAGTCTCACCTGTCATTGACTGTCTAATTTTTCTGTAGACTCAACCATAGTCGGGCTGAAGGATTCTCTGTGGTTCTTGAGTGACAAATCAAGCCTGGGCTTGTCTAGCGCCGAGGTGCCTTAGCCAAATGAAGTATACGATAATAAGTCCCATGGCTACAATGCCCAGAGTTAGGGACCTGGCCCATTTTTTGATTAAGCAGCCTGCCATCTGGGATCCCCTAAGGATGATCTCTCCAGAGGATGGAGGATCCCGGGTCTCGTTCAACCTAATAATTTGATCGACCAATTGATGAGTATAAACTTTGGCAGGGGGTAACACAAATGTGCACTGGGGTAGGTGACCTGGTTTAAGGGTGTATTTAAAATTCCTACCTGGATTAAGTTATTTAAGGAGCTCTGAGTGCTGAGAGCCTCTGTTACCTCCTCTGCTGGTTTATTCACTGTGCTGGCTGTAGTTAAAGACTGTGAGATGGCAGTCCCAGATGCAATGGCTCCTGTAGCAGCAACAGCAATAGCTACAGTCACCCCAGCAGTGATGCTAAAGTCTCTTCTTTGCTGCATTAGGGCTAGTTGCATTTCTCTGGAGAAATACACTAGCATAGGTGCGATTCCAGGAACATGAACGAACCACCAAGGCTGATATTTCACCACTCCAACAGCTTTTTAAGTGGCCATGTCCTATTCAAATACTGAAAACGGGCTTTGGTTATTCATCACGGTCCATACCTGTGTCCAATTGTTTTAAATGAGTTCTTTTTTCCCCAAAGGAAAAAACTGGCGAAATGAATTCTGTGTCTCAAGGGCAAACTGCTAGTCATCCAGTTCTTTATTGGTTCCGGGATGAAAGCTCACGGGTCTGGGAAGTTGATGCAACAGGCCTGTTGAGAAACTGGAAATCTCAAGCCGAGATTTCCTTTCTTTCTCAGGCTGTAGATTCAATGACAGTAAGGGTCAGGAACGCTGGTTCAGGGGAATCTCACTCCAACTGGCTTGGGCAGGCTCCACGTATCTCACCAAATGTTCTGGCAGCCACCAAGCTTTATTCTTTTCCTGCAACAAAACACAAAGAGACCCTCGACCCCAAATTAAGGCAGAATTGTGTCTTCTCCACTGTCGAGTACATGGTTCTCTCCCCCTGACCTGAACAAAAGTCGCTCCAGTTCCATCATGCCAGAATCTGTCTGCAGCAGATTGCTCCCTGGCATCCACATTTAAAATGAAGCGGGAATGATTTAGTGCATCACGTGGGGACTGGGTACATTACTGCCCCCCTTTTTTACATCTTTTGACACATATATGGTGGCTTTTCCCGTTTGTTTAGTGGCTGACAAGAAACCTGAATACCTGTCAACTGCCATGCGCACATATTTTAACTTGTCAAATTCTGCAATATGAGTAAGAACCATTTGCTGTAATTTTTAAATTAGTTTGTGGGCACACCTCATTGTTTGACAATTTTGGTGAGCAGTCTCTTTAGTCAAACCAAATTGCTTTCTTAACATGGGCTATTCTGATGATGAAAGTTATGAGACTGCAGAGCTTTCTACCAGAGATAAAGCAACCAATTTTGTTTGAACTGTTTGCTAACATCTGTTGATGCTGGACTACACTGTAACAGTAGAAGAACTTGTCTACCCCTCCTTAGTTAACATCTAGGTAAACTGGAATCACTGAATCACTAGCAGATGCCCTTAAAAAAGTACGTAACTATTTAATATTTCCCAACAACTTCTGAAAATCACTCAAAGATTGCAAGCTATACTATGTCCCAAATAACTTTTGAAAATTACTTGAAGTTTGTGAGTGCTTTTTCTGATCCAATTTGTAAAGCTCTCGATAGCTGACTGACATGGCCTAATTGACTCCTTTGTAGGTGGGACCTAACAGGGCCGCAGTTTCCCTGAGGCTTCTTCTCAAAAACTTTTTTTCTCTAGATTTCTTTTTCCAACCATAAAAGTTTAGGAGAATACCTGTGTCCTCTCCTCTGCTAAACTCTATCATCTATGTAGATTCCCTCTGCTCTTAGGCCCTGCTGCAGGCTTCTGTTATTTTCCCATTGACTGGCTCTGAAGACTCAAATCGCCAACCTCTCCTGTTAAGAAACTGACTGGCTGGATGTTCTTTTTGGCTATATCTAAAGCAATTTAGGTAACTTCTTAACTATATTTGAAGTAACTTAAGTATCCTTTTAATCATATCCAAAGCAATTCAAGCAGTTCTTTTTGTCAACATTCACACATTCACAATCACATTTCATAATACCAGTATGGCCACACCATACATATAGAACATGCATACATCTTTTAGTCATCCTTTTTCCCTAGGTCATAATTAGTTTGTTGAAATAAAACTTCCTTAATTTAAAACTCTTGTAACAGAACAGCTCCAGCCAATCCTTGAATTAAAACAAAAAAGGCCCTCATGGCCTTCACCATCTTTTCATTCCCAATCATAACCAGGCAATTTGAGAGGAGTTGTAAGGGGTAACAATAACATCAGGTCCTTTGCCAAAGATTTGCAAACTTATCTTATATTCCCTAAGAATAAGTTGTATAACTGCTTGTGGGTATTCTCTAATTGCTTTAGAAGGAGAGGCATGATCATGTACCCAAAGAGTGGGTCCAATCTGCCAAAAGACCCTAGTGGGAGCATGACTTGAGCGAAATGTTGTCAATGACCAATAAAAACCAATCTTTTGGAATTTCTATCAGAGCAGACAAACTTGGTTGTGTGGCACCCATGGCTATCACAGTTTTACTGACCTCTCTCAAATCCTGTAACAGGTGCCATTTTCCTAATTTTTTCTTTATAACAAAAGTAGGTGTATTCCAAGGGGAGGTGGAAGGTTCAATATGTCCAGCTCTTGTACTAGCTGATGAGCAGTCTCCAATTTTATTTTAGATAGGGGCCATTGGTCTACCCACACGGGTTGTTCTTACTTAATAGGCTGTGTGGGTGGAGGCTTAGTCACAATGGCCCCAGCTAAAAATGTCCCAGTCCTGTCCAGTCTTCCAACTTACGGGTAACAGAATTTCTTAAAGCAACTGGTTGAGTGGTGATATCTGGTTGAGTAGTAATAACTGAGTGGTAAAAAGTGTGCCCCTCATCATCTCTCCATTTGAGAAGTTCTCAGCTACATTCAGGAGCTACAGCCATACCCACTCCTTGTAATGCTGCACAATTGGAGCCAATCATTAGGAGTACAGTTTAAGGCTAAACATGGGCAGGAATTTACTAACTCTTCCTCCTGGGCATTTTTAAATATTTTTTCAAGATCAGTCATTTGTTCCTTCATCTTAGCACTATCACAAGATAGGGCATCTTTCACTAATCTCCAAAGGGGAAAGGCAGCAATAGGAAAACTTTCTGGTCCCTCTTTCTGAAGAGCCTTTTGGAGATAATTTTTAACTTGTTCCCAGTCAGGGATATTAAGCCCTCCTGAGTGTAAAAACCATGGATTTGTCTTTTCCAAACTTAAAATAAAATCTTTAGCTGTCTTCCTCTCAATGTTGGTACCTTATCTCTCTAACAATTCTACTAACTGTTCTATCAATACACCTTAGAAGCTGAGGTACCCATTTTCAAAATACACCCTCACATCCTTACCTGCTGGCCAGCCTCCAGGGCAATCTCTCAGGTTCCTCTTTCTTTCCCAATATTGGTGAGTCAGGCAAAAGCCTGGAGATTTAAATAATCCACTCTCCAATTGAGGTTGATCCCTCAGGCTTGGAGATTTAACCATACAATTTTACTGTTAGAAGTTGAGGTACTCATTTTCAGTTCCTTTCTTTCCTGAGTCTTTACTTTCTTTTACAATATCCTTTCTTTCCTGATCTTTCCAAGTCTCTCCAAATCTCCATGGGACCTCCACTCGTGGTGCCCATGCCATGAGTGAATCTAACATATCAGGCAAAAGGCTGGAGATTGAACTGTCTGGCTGTTCGTGCTAAGAGAATCTTCTTTATTGTAGAGAGGGAGCAGACTTATGTACAGGCTTATAGCACAGTGGAAAAACCCCAGGTGGAAGAGTGTTTTCCTCCTGCTAAAGGCTGATGTCAGTGGGGCAAAGCCTGGGCAATAAGCCAGGACTAGAAAGCAAGATGCACTTGGACTGGAAAACAGGATGCACCATTGACCTACAGATATCATATGGGGGCTAGGACCCAACATTTCATCAAGTAGCTGATGGAAGTAGAAGCAAAGATTCACAGCTAAGCAGTGAGCCGAACTGGAATCCATTTGTAGAGAAGGAGGAATGATGAGCAAAGGGGTCAAGACCATGCTAGGGAAATCCACATAAACAGCTGACCTGAGCAAGTGGGAGCTTAGGGACTCCAGACTGACAGCTGGGGAACCTGCATAGAACCAACCAGGCCCCCTGAACATAGATGTCAGTTGGGGGCCTGGGCATTCAATGGGGCCTCTGCCAGTGGAACTAGTATTTATCCCTAGTGCATGAATTGGCTTTTTGAAGCCCATCCCCTCTGGAGGGATACCTTGCTCAGCCGAGATATAGGCGGGAGGGTCTAGGTCCTGGCCCAAATGATGTGACAGACTTCGATGATTCCCCATGGGGGGGCTCGCCCTCTCTGAGGAGTGAATGGGGGTGGGATAGGAAGAGAGTGGGGAGAATGGGAGGGAGAGAGAGCTGGGATTGATATGTAAAATAACATTGTTTTTTATTTTAAAAAATTTAAATAATAACAACAAAAAAGAGGGCCAGGCGTTGGTGGTGCACACCTTTAGTTCCAGCACTCAAGAGGCAGAGGCAGGCAGATCTCTGTGAGTTCGAGGCCAGCTTGGTCTACAGAGCAAGTTCCAGGACAGCCTCCAAAACAATACAGAGAAACCCTGTCTCGAAAAACCAAGAAAAAAAAGACAGAATTTTATTAAAAAGTTAAAAAAAAGAAGGAAGGAAAGAAAATGCTCCGTAGTCATGCCCACAGCCAGTCTGAGGAAGGCAATTCCTTCATTGCAGTCCCTCTTCCCAGGTCTGTCTGTCTAGGACACAGGTCTTCACAGCATCTCTGGAAGTCCTGAAGTTCCCTTCACTGTCTCTCTTTTCCTCCTCAGGCTACTACCTGTCAGACGAGAACGGCGTTTGCCTGCGCTGCAAGGATGGCGTAGGTTACACCGACTTTGTCAACAAGCTGAATTCGTGCAGAACCTGCAGCGTCTGTAAGGAAGGTACGGAACAAAGGGGCTGTCTCCCATCGGTGGGGCTCATAACTGCTGTGGACTTGGACACCTCAATGCCAGCCCAATTTCATCTTTCTCCCACCCTGTTCTCCGTTTATCCTTAATGCAGTGGGACACAAATTAAAAAGCCAAACCCCTGAAGAATTAATTTGTGCTGTTTCAGGAATCATTGAGACCATCAGTTGCGAGTGAGGTAGAAACCAATCTGCCCTTTGGCACCCCCAGATGCAGGACAGGGTAGTTGCCACTGCCTTCACCACCCATTCATTTATAACACGGCACACTTGGTGAGCAGGAGGTGCCCTGGTGCCAGTGGGCAAAGACTTGTCCTGAGGAGTGGCGGCCTCCACCGAGCACATGACATTAGAGCTGGGCCTTGTTCTAAGTGGAACAGGGAAGCCTCCAGTCGGAGTTCCAGCATTGAGGAGTAAAGAGCCCTGCACATTTGGAATAGGGCATTAATTCCATTCTGGGTCCAGCATGAGTCTCCTCAACTCTGTAATGGATTTGATACCCAGTAGCAAATCTTGAGTGACCACAAGTAGTAGTCTGCTTTGCATTTTCCAGAAGTTGAAGTCAGAAGGGTGGGTAATGGGATGTAACACTAGCTTAGAAAGGAAAAGACCCACTGAGAGTCTCCCCCTGTCCCTGTGGTCAGTCTCCAGCTACAGGTAACATTCTGTGTTCCATCCTTACCCTCAGAATCCATCAGCCTTTTTCTTTTCTTTTCTTTTTTATTAGTTTTTTTCGAGACAGGGTTTCTCTGTGTTGTTTTGGAGGCTGTCCTGGAACTCGATTTGTAGACCAGGCTGGCCTCGAACTCACAGAGATCCGCTGCCTCCCGAGTGCTGGGATTAAAGGCGTGCACCACCAATGCCCGGCTCAGCCTTTTTCTTAGTATTGGCTGCCTTCTAGTCCTGTGAGACCTGAGGCCACTCTTTCTAGAACCTTCAGCGTGCACTCATCTTTCCAGTTGTGGGCCTGCTAAAGTGTTTAGGTGGTAGATTATTGTTTTAATTTCTTTTCCTGTTGCTGAGATGAAAGCTCTGACAAAAGCAAGTTAAGACTTATGCACAATGGGGCTGGAGAGATGGCTCAGAGGTTAAGAACACTGGCTGCTCTTCCAGAGATCCTGAGTTCAACTCCCATCCACCACCTGGTGGCTCACAACCATCTGTAATGAGATCTGGTGCCCTCTTCTGGCCTGCAGGCATACATGCAGGCAGAACACTGTGTATGTAATAAATAATTAAGAAAAAAAAAAAAGACTGATGCACAAACTGACTTAGTGTAGCCCATTCCATGGAGAGATACATTGCTCAGCCTAGACGCAGGGGTGTGGGGGTGGAGAGGTGCCTTGATCCTTCCTCAACTAGATGTGGGACAGACTCAGACCCCCTAGGGGAGGCCTTACCCTCTCCGTGGAGCAGATGGGAGGTGGGGGGGGGGATGCGATTGGAATGTAAAAAACGTAAATTAATTTTAAAAATGTAAAAAAAACAAAAGCAAGTTAAGGAAGAATGGGTTGCACCGGCTCCCAGTTCAAGGGTACCATCCATCATTGCAGCGAAGTTAAGGTGGGCAGGAGCTTGAAGCAGCTGCTCAACTCCCGTTTTCAGAGAGTAATAGATGTGTGTGCTCAGCTCACTGTCCCCTTTTTATGAAGTTCAGGAACCTAGTCTAAGAATGGGGCCACCCAGGGTGTATGAGCCTTCCCGCCAGTTAGCTTAATCAAGATAATCCTCACAGACGTGCGCAGAGATCTGTCTCCCAGATGATGCTAGATCTTATCAAGGTAACAACTGAGATTAACCTTCATAGTCGGTTACAAAGAAAGGAATGGCTGAGTAGTTGCAGGCTGGGTTCCCAGCTGGCTCTGGGCTAGGCTTCTCTCGTTCTAGGCTCTGATCTCTTGGTAGGTGTGAGCACTCAGTCCCTGCTTAATGCTCCTCCTGTTTCCAGGAGCTTGAAGACCATCCTCTGTACATCCCTTGCTCCTGTCCTCATGTGGTGGTAATAAAAACTGATCCTTGTTACTTCCTAAGTTCAGTGGAGCTGGAGCTGAAGGAACTGTGTTGTGAGGAAGTGTTACCATGGTAATCAGGAAAACTCCTCCCTCAAACTCTTACAGATAAAGATGAAAAAAGCAGATGCATCGCCACCAGAAACACGGAGTGTCAGTGCAAACAGGAAACCTTTGAAGATGAAAACTCAACTGAGTTCTGCCAGAAATGCTCCCCTAAGTATGGCATGGGGCCCAGGGCAACCCCAGAAGACCCAAACTTCCTGTATTCTTTTTTCCTCTCCAAATCCCTGGAGTTCCCACACCACACGATATCCCTAAACATTTGGGGTCCTCTGAGCCTGCTTCTTTTCCCTTGACCAGATAATGTGTCTACTCTCCCTAGAATATAGCTTGAGAATGAGTAGCATATAGCCTGGTTTGTGTTTACATCACCTCAGAATTCCTGTGCAGACAGAAGCCTGTAAAGACAAAAGTGCTACAAGCCCACAAACATGATAACAAGGCTGTGTGTGTGGCTCCCTGGGGGTCCTCAGAGGCACCTGAGCCAACTCAGCCAGCCTCGCCCCGGGCCCTGTCTCCTCAATACCACATGTCTCACATGTCTTCAGCCGTTCGAGGGAAAGTAGTTCATTTCCTCTTCCCTGACCACCTGGTGTTGACAAAGGGACATGGCTTAGTGGTGACCACACAGGCTTCTGTCCTTCTCTTTTCCTAACTTAGGGTCTCCCAGTGGCCCAAGGCAGTCAGTTCAGCACACACCCTGCAGAAAAGGCCAAAAGGCTGTCAGCATGCCTTCAGAGAGTTCCCCAAGGGCTGCACTGTCACCATGCCTACAGAGAGTTCCTCAAGGGCTGCACTGTGTGTGCCCAGATGTGTGCCCAGACACAAGGAGCCTGTCCTTCCTTTCACACCATCTCGGGGACATTGGGCAGAGTGGGTGGACTCCCCTTTCACCACATCTGGCCAGCAGCCTTCTCACAAAATCGTATCATTTGTTCCTTGTGTGTGCCCAGGTGTACCAATGAAGAAGAAGAAAAGATTCCCTGTACCCCGAATACGAACCGGAAGTGTGTCCCCAAAGGCCCTCAGAAACTTGGAACTAACTTAGGGCTCCCAGTGTCCCTGGGGCTCCTGGGGCTCCTGGTGCTGATTGTTGTGGCTTTAGCTCTTTGGAAGACTGGGGTATGGAGGCAAGTACTTCAGCGTGTGAAAGGAGCCTATCCAGGTGAGTGTTGGCTGAGGGTGGGTGGGTCCCGTGGACATCGAATTTTAATCTCCTTCAGAATTGCCCTCCCTGTGTCCCACACCCCAATGTCCCTGAAGTCTAGCTCCCTCTCTTGCCCCTGCAATTGATATACCATCTGCCACTTTCTCTAATTCCCTCCCTCACTCTCTAAACCAAGTCTGAGATAGTAGGGCGTGGTCGGGGCAGAGTCATCAACTCCTAGACTGAGGATAAAAGTCAGGACAGGAGAGGGCGGGGGACTGCTCTGGTTATAGCACAACCAGACAGAGATTGTATGTGTGTTGTTTTCATTCAGTTTCTCGCCTGAGGGCAGTCCCAAGCGAGAATGACCCCTCCTTATCCAGTGTTGGAGTCGCTAGGTCACTCTGCTTAGATAAAAAAGGCTGATGGGTCCCCTGTGCACTTGCTGTGGGGATCTCCTTCTCTTCTAGGCCATCAACAGAACTCTGAAAATGTGAACACTGTGGGCTTGTCTCTTCTGAGAGGGCAGACATCCAGCGTGGGAAACGACTCTCACTACAGCCCTTCAGCAGAGGCCCCAGAGGTACTGCAGACCAAAGTGTTTTTAAATTTGTGTATGAGTGTTTTGTCTGCCTGTCTGTCTGTGCATCACAAGCATGCCTGGTGACCTTGGAGGCCAGAAGAGGACATTGGATCCTCAGGAACTGGAGCTTACAGCCAGTTGTGAGCCTCCATGTGGATGCTGGGACTCAAACCCAGGTCCTCTGGAAGAGCTGCCAGTGCTCTTAACCACTGAGCTATCTCTGCAGCCCTGAGAAGCAGGGCATTTGAGGGGCTGTACAGCCCAGGGAGGAGGCTACATCTGCACTTTCCCGGGTTGCTGTCCTGGCTCACTAAAGTGATTGGAGCTCTGGATCCACTGTCAATCAAGTGGCCATTGAACTTCTACAAGGCCCCAGCCCATGTTGCCCAGCTCCTGTGGGCGGGGTCAGGTGGGAGTAGTGGCCTCCCCTCGGCACACAGTGCCAGCAGCAGATCATGGATGTGTGAGCCTAGGGTGACCACATAGAGATGAGTGGGACCGTGGGACCCTGCAGGGAGCCTGGGTATGGACTCCAGAGTGGCCTCTTCGCCTTCTTAAAGTCATTTCCACACACCTGTGTCCCTCCAGAGGATCTGAAATTCGGAGCCATTCTGTGGGACATGCTGAGTCTCTGTGACATTCTTGCTGTGTGTGTCCTCAGAACCTGGGGCAGCCCAGAATGGATCAGATACTGTGGCAAGGAAGGGTTTGACGTATTGGGGCCTCATACATGCTAGAGACTCTGCAGCCGAGCTACATCCTCGGTCACTTTTTAATTAGATTTATTTATTATTTGTTATGTATACAGTGTTCTGTCTGCATGTATGCCTGCAGGCCAGAAGAGGGGATCATTACAGGTGGTTGTGAGCCAACATGTGGTTGCTGGGAATTGAACTCAGTACCTCTGGAAGAGCAGTCAGTGCTCTTAACCTCTGAGCCATCTCTCCAGCCCCCCTCGGTCACTTTTTAAAAATGTTTTATTGAGACAATATCTTACTAAGTTCCCCAGGCTGGCCTCAGCCTCCAGAGTAGCTGGCGTCACAGGCCTATGCCACCAGCCCTGCCCAGATACTTTTTTTTTCCATTTTCGCCATTTGATTAGCTTTCTGATCACATTTGTGGGAAGGAGTCCATGAAGTAGGATTTCCAGTCAAGGCTACAGAAGTGCTGTTTGGTATGCACATGGAGGCACACACACACAATCAGATATACAAAATTACACATGCAGGGTCTCACACACACAGTCACACATATACACACTACTGTTTATCATTTATATCAGCTCACAAGTTTTGACTGGACATTTAGCACTTTCTGTTGATTTTGCTGTAGGAAAATATCAATGGTCTGGTATGTACGTGGCTTTGTTTTAAACATTTTTGCGTATTGTTATCCTAATGTCATTACGAACTTTGTAAGAAAAAAATGCCCCCTGTGTAAGTATGCTTTTCTCACATTGGTAATAGATTTCTAATTTCTTGTATAGCACATATGTGTTCATGTGTATATACACATATGCGCTCATTAGAATGTAGAGCCCAAAGGTCTTTGTCAAATGTTTTTCTCAGTTCTCTTCTTCACTTTACTATTTTCTGAGGCAAGATCTCTTCCTGGACCTGGAACTCACTAGCTAACGTGGCTGGCCAGCAAGTGTCCCCACCCACCTGGTACTTGCAATACAAGTGCAGGCAGCCATGCCCATCTCTCTCCACCCTACAACTTTTTTATGTTATGTGTATGAGTGTTTTGTCTGAATGTATGTGTGTGCGCCATGTGTGTTTCTGGCACCTGAGGAAGTCATAAAAGGGTGTCGAATCCTCTGGAACTGGAATTACTTTCCTTCTATGCCTGGCTTTTATGTAGTATTAGCAATCTGGACTCAGGCCCTCATACTTCTGTGGCAAGCACTTTACTGACTGAACCATCTCCCAGCCCCAAGTTCTTAATTCTTGTCCTTTAATTTGTTCTAATACTTCATTTTTAACTGTTACAATCAGCCTATGCATTTACTTCTCGTCACTCATAGGCCCCTTAAACCCTTTCCCCAACATAAGATGAGCCTCTGACTTCTTGGGGAGATTTTTTCCCCACTAATTCCACTTTTGCATATTTCTGTATCATCTAGATGGAATTTATTTTGTGATCTGATATTGTTCCTTGTCACCATGTGGTTCTTTCAATTCCATTTAAATATCGAGCCCTCCCCACCAACACCCCTGGTCCCTCCCCCCCCCCACAAGTCCAGTGTCCATCTAGACAGTGACTTCCTTCTACCTGGACAGTTCTGCAACTGTGCTTAGTTTTCATTTTATAAAGAGAAAGGGAAATACAATTTGGTTTTTGTTTTGTTTTGTTTTGGTTTGGTTTTTGGTTTTTCGGGACAGGGTTTCTCTGTGTAGCTTTGTAGACCAGAATGGGGGCATAGGGTCTCCTGGAGCTGGAGTTACAGGCATTTGTGAGGTGCCTGATATAGGGACTGAGATCTGAACTCTGGTTCTCTGGTAGGGTAGTAAGTGCTCTTAACTGCTGAGCCTTCTCTTCAGCCCAACATTCAATATTTTTTTTTCTCACCACAGGAGGCAATATTTTAAGACAAGACCTTTTTTTTTAATATCTAAGTTTTGTGTTTTTCTAGAGGCGTGTGATCCTATTTCTTGACAACACTGTATTTCCTGTGTTTGCTTTGTCACCTTTGTAAGTTGGGTCTTTGTCTTAATGTCTTTTCCTGTTGTGATGAGTGACCCTGGGAAAAACAACTTAGGGGCGAAAGGGTCTATTTTAGTTCACAGTTCCGGGTTACAGCCCGCCATAGCCGGACTCTTAGCAGCAGAATCCTGAGAGAGCTAGCCTCATTCCGTCCACAGTCAAGAGAGCAGTAAATGAATGCTTTTCCTCTGCTCTCTCCCCTTTTCATCCAGCTCACGGCCCAGCCCATAGAGTGGTGCTGCTCTCATTCAGAGTGAGTCTTCCCACCTCAGTTAACCTAAGTGAGAAAAGCCCTCAAGGGTGTCCCCACCGCCAACTCACCAACAATTCCTCGTGAAAATTCCTCCCAGGGGACTCTAGATTGTGTCACGTTGCCTCAAACTAGCCATCACCGTTCTCTTAATTCCATTTCTGAATTTACTCTTTCTGCCATGTTTTAAAACATTCATCCAAAGTTATGTTCATCTCTTATTATTATTTAAAATTCAGTTTTTAAGTATAGAGACATCCAAAACAATGACTTTTTTTTTTCTGCTCCCTGCTAGGAATCCTGTCTCTTGGTTTGTTTGTTTGCTTGCTTTTGTGTTTTTACTCCCTTTTACTGTGTAGCTAGAGCTGTCAAAACAGAGCTGGACAGTGATTAGAAATGGGGGTGTGGCTTGGAGAGGAGTATTTACATTCCATGTAGAGCTTTCTGGGTTTGAACCCTAGCACCACAAAACAAGACAAAACCCAATGGCTAGAGGAAGGGTTTTTTTTTTTGTTTAGATTTTTTTTATTATTTTAATTTTAAATAGCTTGTTTTACATGTCAATCCCAATTCCCTCTCCCTCCCCTCCTCCCGCACCCCCCCAGCCATTCCCCCCCAGCCTCCCACCCCATTGCCAATTCCTTCCGCATAGGGGATATCTAGAGTCTGTCATTGCACTCAGGGTAGAGTCCAGGCACTCCCCTAAGAGTCCAGGCAGAGAGAGCAACCCTCTTTGGGTTATGGACACATGATGTCTGTTTGTATTCCAGGGATAAACACTGATCCACTGCTCAGGGCCCCATAGGTTGCCCAGGCCTCTTCACTGACTTTCACATTCAGGGGGTCTGGATCAGTCCCATGCTGGCCTCCCAGCTGTTGGTCTGGGGTCCAAGAGCTCTCCCCTGTTCAGATCAGCTGTCTCTGCTGGTTTTGCCAGCCCATTCTTTGCCAATTTGCTCATCGCTCCTCTCTCTCTGTCGCTGGGTTCCTTGGGTTCAGTTCAGTGTTTAACTGTGGGTGTTTGCCTCTGCTTCCATCAGTCACTGGATGAAGGCTCCAGGATGGTTATAGACATCAAGTTCATTATCAGGAATGAACATCCGAGGTGGTCTCTCCACTATTGCTTAGCTTGCCAATTGGTGTCATCCCTTTAGCTCACTAGAGGTCACACTGGTGCCTGATCTGTCTTCTAACCTATGATTCCCTCTTCCCCCTACTCAACCTTCCTGTTCCCCCATGACCTACTCTCTCTTCCTCTTCTCCCCGTCTCTTCTTCCCAGCTCCCACTCCCCCCCACCCCTTGCTGTGTTCCCAATCTGTTCAGAGGATCTTGCCTCATTCGTCTTTCTTGGGTACCATGCATATCTCTTAGGTTCTTTCCTGTTTCCCAGACTCTCTGTCAGTGGAAGTGCAGACTGGCACTATCCTGATGAAAGGGGGGGATTTTGGCCTTGGTTTGACCTGTTAATTTCTAATGTGTTACCATTGTGAATGACATTGGTTGCCTTATGTAGACATTTCCTTCATTGTTGATGTTTCTGAAAAAACCAGCCTGTCTCCATCTTTTTTTAAAGATTTTATTTATTTATTATGTATACAGTGTTCTTCCTGCATGTAAGCCTGCACCAGATCTTATTATAGATGATTGTGAGCCATTATGTGGATGCTGGGAATTGAACTCAGGACCTCTGGAAGATCAATTAGTGGCCTTAACCTCTGAGCCATCTCTCCAGCCCTCTGCCTCCATCTTAAAGGCCATCTTATAGTAAAGACAAAGTAGGCTCATTCCTGTTTATGATTAAACCTCTGTTTCTCAAGGTTTGGGCTATGCCCCCCCCAACATTAACCTCAAATGGTTTTATATTGCCTGTTCTAGGAATGGCAATCATGTCTTTGTTTCAAAAAGTTAATAACCATCTTGCAACCTTCAAAAGTTTATATGACCACCTCTGACTACCTGTTGTTATGACTACCAGTTGTTACGATTACCTTGTTATGCCTACCTTGCAAGCTTGTCTTTGTTTCAGGAGCCCATGTAGGGCTGACTTGTTCTGTTTATGTTCTGCACCTGTAACCCCACCTATTTTGTCTGCCAAATCCCCCATTCGGAAACCCCCTACCCTGATTTCTGTAAGTGTTTATCTTCCTCACATCCAATGCTGACCTCTCAAACCCTGCCTTAGGGTGAGGCAGCCCGTGTGTATGAATTAAAAGCTTGCTTTAATTAATTTGACCATGACGATTTGGGTCCATGATTTTTTTTCTCCCATCTTTGGGATTAGCAGTATCCTTTGGTTCCAAGTTGTTTTTTTTAAAGCCAATTTAGGGGCTAGAGAGGTAACTCAGCAATTATAAGTGTTTGCTGCTCTTTCAGAGGACGTGGGTTCGGTTGTCAGCACTGCATCAGTTGGCTCACAGCTGTGTGAAAACTCCAGTTCCAGGGCACCCGACCCTCTCGTCTGGCTTTCACAGCTCTCTCTCTCATACACATGACACAAAGTCACATACACAGACATACACATAGATTTAAATCCTTTCAAACGGTCAAATTTCATATTCAGTTGTACCAAATACCTTCCCAGCCCCCATGCTATTAATGTTTTCATTTCCATTCTTAGACAGTTGATGTGTGAGCTGTTATTGATTAAAACACCTTTAAAGCCTTGAAACAAATCTTGACCTTGGAATTTTCAAGGCTCTCTCCTCTGTAGTCTCCAACTTAGTTTTGTAAGAAGCCTGGGACAAAGAGGTTGGCAAGAAGGGAAACCCTAGAGTAAGGGGGAATATTCAGTCTTAACTGAGGCTTATAAGTTGTACACTTGTCGCAGAACATTTGAGGTGAGCATTTACGCCACACTGGGCCACCAGCGTCAAGAGCCTTCGAGCAGCTGAGGCAGGAAATTTATCTTGGAGACTTCACTTAAGTCTGGTAATCAGGAACAGGCCTGGGCCCCAGGTCTCCTGACTCTGACCAGGGTGTCTGTGCCATTTGTTTACAGGAAACCGAGGTAGCTGAGAACTCTCCAACAGGAAGGCAGCTTCTGGTTCCAGCGGACGGAAATGATTCAGTTGGTGGTGAGTGTTTCGTATGAGACAATAATAGTGCAGAAGCTGGTAGAATAGGAAAAGTATTCCAACTGTTACTTTTTATGTTATTCTTATAGCAGATAGTGCTCTGCCAAGACACCTAATGATGGGTGCAATGCCTATACTATTGTCACCGGACTTAGGAACCATAAATCCCCCTCTCCTCCTGTCTCCATTGGAACCTCCCCCAGTGCCTCAGATTGCCATCGTTAGAATCTTTCTGCCCTTCCACTCTCCCACCATTCCTCCCTTCTCCCTTGTAGTCCCCACCCACCTCCTCCAGGGTCTCCAGAATGGTGCGCTGGCCTGTGTTAATACCCACGAGTCTTAGACTAGAAGCTCCTGACATGGCCACACTTAGCTTGATGAGCTGTACTACAAATCACAAACCTGGCTTCTGAGATGTCATACGAAACAGTGGAAGCCATCTCATGAATAATGTTTCAGATATTAGCTACATGAGTTGATGAATTTCACAAGTACTGAGTTATCTGTGCACCACTTGCTTCCTTTCATATTTAGTTAGTTAATAAGTTAGTTTTACTTGGGTTCTGAAGACAGAACTTATGCCCTATACAAAAGCAGCATGTGCTTTTAATCACTGGACTGTCTCTCTCCAGCCCCTACACTCAGTGCTGTAATGCTTGGGACTGACCCAGGGTTTTGAGTATACTGGGTAAATACCAACTAAACTATAACTCTAGCCCTCCTTTCATTGGGCAAATAAGGCTGTTAGAACATGTCCTTGTGACTCCTGGGGCTCATGGGACTCCTATCCCTGCTCCTTCTGTTTCTCAGGATGAAGGGTGACACATTTCATACACACCTCATTTACATCATAGTTACTGCACAAGTGACTTTCCATTACTTAGCTACAGGTTCAGGTTTTCAATCATTCCTTTTCCAACATCTAGTGGCGGTGATGGCAGCAGTGAGGGAAGCCAGTTGGCATGGAAAGGTCCTCCGCCTCTCTCCTCTGTTCTTTCTGCAGAAGCAGATAGGACTGCCCGATACCCCATTCACCATGAATACAGCCTAAACAGCCTCCTTTCCCTGAGATACTATGCACCCACCCCGCTGTGCCCTCTGTGGCTCATGCCACATGCTACTACCCTTACACACACACACACACACACACACACAATCATGCACCTTTGCCCATTGGGCCAACAACCCTCTTGCAGAACAAGATTCTTTTTTTAAAAGGTATGTTAAAAAAAAACTTAAAAAATTTTACTTTGTATATATGGGTATTTTGCCTGCATGTTTATCTGTGCACCACTTGCGTGCCTAGTGCCTTGCAGAGGCCACTTGCAGATTTCTTGGGACTACAGCTACAGCTACATATGGGTGTTGGGAATCAAACCAGGACCTTTGGTAGAGCAGTCAGTACTCTTAACAGCTGAGCCATCTCGCCAGCCCCCAGATTATTGGTTAGCTTTGGTTGTGGCAGGGCCCCAACAGCATTCATGGAGTGGCAAGGGAGTGCATTAGGTCCTACCCTTGCCTTCTAGATCTGGTTTAGGGTCCTCCATCCTCTGTAATGGGCTTGCAGCTAACCTGTCCCCAATGTTTTCTGACACCCAGCCCTGAAGCTCATCTTCAATCAGTGTTCGAATATTGTGCCCTTTAAATCCTGGAACAACCTCATGCGGCAGATGGGCCTCACAGACAATGACATTCAAATGGTCAGAGCTGTAACACAGGTCCCCGAAGATGCCTTGTACCAAATGCTGATGAAATGGCTCAACCAAACAGGCCGGAGCGCCTCCATCAACAGTCTCCTAGAGGCCTTGGAAACCATAGGAGAGAGGTATGCCCGGGACACAATTGAAGACCATGCAGTGAAATCTGGGAAGTTCATTTATCAGAAGGCTACAGCAGAGCCAGGCTTGACAACACACATCCTCAATATCGGCACTGAGGAGACACAGACTGGAGAATCTCTATGAGATCAAGGCCAGCCTGGTCTATATGGTGAACTCAGAACAGCCAGGACTGTATAGACCTGTGTGAAAGGAAGCTGCACAGGCCCTTCAGTGTCATTGGAATTAATTTTATTTTTCTGTATTTATTGTATCGTATTATTGTACTGTCATACCAGAAGCTGGACCCATACCTCCTGAACACTAGGCAAACACTCAAACACTAGACTGCATCTCCAGCATCCTAGTTTGCCTTTGTTCCTGTCTTGAACATCTGACTCCCAGGTGTCCAGATCTCTCACTTCCTCAAGTGAGTTTGCTGACTTGGACACATAGGGAACATAAAAAGTACTATCTGTGGTGACTCATCCTCTGCCGCCTTTCCTACCACCTTCTGGGGCATCAGTGGCATCCTTACTCCAAGTGCCTCTGAGATCCCAAAAAGGCAACTTCTGTTTTGTTCCAGTCTGGACTTCTGGATTCTTCTTAGTTTGGGTTCCAGTCCTCCTTTTTATGTATACTTGATCTGTCTAGGTGTGGATAACTGGATCTTTTAAGTTTTACAACTTTATGTTTCTGTTTGTTTTTGTCTTATCGTTCTGGGTAGTAGATGAAGGTCATAGTTCATGTTGAGCAAGTTCTTTGCAACTGTGATAAAACCCAGTTTATAAATCACTGAGTTTAGCACTTTATAAGTATATATAAATACTTACATGTTGGCCGGGCGGTGGTGGCGCACGCCTTTAATCCCAGCACTCGGGAGGCAGAGGCAGGTGGATCTCTGTGAGTTTGAGGCCAGCCTGGTCTACAAGAGCTAGTTCCAGGACAGCTTCCAAAGCCACAGAGAAACCCTGTCTCGAAAAACCAAAAAAAAAAAAAAAAGTATATATAAATACTTACATGTTGTATCCACACTGATGGACATGACTGGTCCATGATATGACATTTGTGATGGATAATCTTGATTAGATTGAGAGGAGCTGGGCCAGAGAGATGGCTCAGCAGATAAAGGTGCTTTCCACCGAGCCTGATGGCCCAGGTTCTAACCCCAGAAACCACATGATGGAAGGTGAGAACAGATTTCTCCAAGTTGTCTACTGGCCTCTGTATATGTGGTGTGGCACGAGCACAGACACACACAATTTTTAAAATCCAAATTGAAAGGTGCCTAGGAGATTGTAGCGCACACTTTTGGGTGTGTCTGTAAGGGCATTTCCAGAAAGGGTTGACATGTAGGGCAGCAACGGAGATGGAAGGACTTGCCATAGATGGAGTAGCACTGTCCAGTAGGCTGGGGGCATGAATGGAATGAAAGAGAGGAGGAGGCAGCCAGCCAGTGCTTGCAGGCTTAACTCTTCACAACTGTCTGCTGCTGCCACCATCACTAATGACATCCTTCCCCTTTGACCTTTCCACATAGAGTCAACCCCAATGACTCTCCATGGAGTCTCAGACCACCAACCTTGGTTTGCGATATCTTTGACTCCTCTTATTTTGGGGCTCCCCATTTCTTGGACTGAAAGGCTCTGTGATTCCAGGCATGCAAGCCAATTTCATGAGTCCTCCTTTATAATGCTATACTATTGGTTCTGAGGCTGGGGTGAGGAGATGGGAGATAGGTTAGGCTAGAGGTGCCCCATAAGCTGGTGTGCATTTCATGTTAGTGGCTGGGATCAAGGGAGGAGGACACAGAGACTTGCCCCTCCTGCCTGCATGCTCTCCGGGATGGTGCATATGAATGTGAAATGCTAGTAACTCAGGAATCTCGGTTCTAGTGAATCTAGCCCTGGGCCACGCTGGGGCACAGAAATCCATCCTTGAGCATGCACGCCCTCTGTAAACACTGCAATGTCAGTTCTCCAGGTTTGGGTTTTGAGTCTGGGTCTTGACTGTGAATCCCAGACTGCCCTCACTTGCAGTCATCCCGTCTCAGCCTCCTTAAAGCAGGGATTCCATGTGTGCATAACCATATCCATGAATATTTTTAAAATACTGTGACAGGGATTTCTGGAAAGCTGGAACATCCAGATTTTTTTTTCATCCTGTATGGATCCCTATTCTATTTTTTTAAAACTAATTTGTTTTTGAGACAGAGTCTAAAAATATATGTAGCCTGAGCTGACCTTGAACTTACCATGCAGACTAGGATGGCCTCCATCCTAGTACCTGGCCTTCATCTATTCTTGTGATTCTTATATTTTGAGTTTTAAAATTTTTATTTTATGAGTATTTTACCTGCATATATGTGTATGACATGCCTGGTGCTCACACAGGTCAGACAGTGGCATTTGATGACCTTGAACTGGAGTTGCAGATGGTTGTGACCCACTATGTGGGTGCTTGGAACTGAGCCCAGGTCTTCTGGAAGAGCAAGTGCTCTAAACCACTGAGCAATCCTCTTAAGTCCTCATTATTTCAGCCCTCCTTCTGCCAAAACCTTCTCCAGAATATTCTAGCCACACAACAGGACAGTGCCTGGAGATGGCTGTTTCCAGGTATTCTGTAGTGTCTTGTTGCTGTGGCATCCATGTAGCTTCAGGAGGGAGGGAGACACCCCCCCCCCCCCCCACCTCTGGGTATTCTTCTGATCAGTGTTGGTTATGTTATTCTGAGTGTAAGCATTCATTGTACCTGTATGCAGATGTTGGAATTGTACATCAGGGTTTGTTGGGCTCTGTACCCGGCCCCAACAATAGCTGTGGGTTTCACCCTCACATCTGATGTCCTTTCTTGCCTGCCCTTGGAAACATGTTGGTGACATAAAATAAAACAAGGCATGCCATTAGGTACAAAATACTCAATGTATTATGAATTCATGACCAAATTAAATATGAAACCTTTATATAAAAAGGTGTGGGGTTTTTTTGTTTGCACCCCCATCCTCTAAAACAATACTGCGTGACATAAGTGACATAGTCCAGGGGAGCATGTTCTTGTGTCACTGCCCCCCCCTCTTGTGGGGAGCTTTTATGCCTCAGGCTTGCCCCGTGCTGGAGTGTCTGCTACTTCCGTCTCCCTGGAATCCAGAGCACCCATGTCTTAAGGGACTACAATATGCACCTCCCCTCTCCTGGCTCACTCAGTGCCCTAGGAGGCTGTAGGGCTCCACCTGGTGCACACTGGCTCTGACAGCTGTGGGGGTGGGGTGGGTCCCTGAGGGGTGAACTGGCCAGGTTGGGGCATGGACTTCCTTGGGCTTCCACCATCCACAAAGCTTCACATTCTCCCACTGACCCTGTCCATCATCACCAGTGATGCCCAAGTTGCTCGAATGGGAGACCCAATTACCCTTCCTCTTTAGGGATGGACTCCACTTATTACTCCCAGGAGATGTACCCCTAACTCTGTCCTCAAAGACGGTGAGGGGCTGCCTCACCTTTTCTGTGTTTATAGACACCTCATCTTCACACTTGAAGCCGGTTAGAACTCAGCTGCAGGAGGGCGCACTAACCAGCAGAGGGCAGCACCCAACGCACTTCCCCAGCTGGCAAGTCTGGAGGACTTAACCCAAAGGGTAGCCGCTGTCTTGGCCGTTCCAGGCACAGACTGGATTTCAGTACTATGTGAGACCTGCTACTGCCTATTCCCTCTGACAAGGCAGGATGCATTTGTTTCTGGGTTTGCTTTAATCCCAGACCCAAGCAGCCTATCCATGTCCCGGGGAATCAGTCAGTACTTCCCACTGCCTCATGGGACTTCACCTCCTAAGTCTAAAATATGCTAAAAGGTGGTGAAGTATGGATCATAATTAGGAAAAGGGAAGGGTCAACTGAGGCCTGGTGTTTGTCCCAGGGGGGGTTTCAAGCTATTGTGTTCATTCTCTAGTCACTTAAGATTCCTCTCCGGACTAACATTTTCTCCTCCCTTTATCCTCAACCAGTACCGGGTTGGGTCGTGTGTCCTGTTTCCCAGTGTGTCCTTTGCTGGCATTTAACCTGTGCCCAGAACTCCCACCCCACCTACCCTGTCCCCGAAAGCACATGCTCTGTATACATCCTGTGAAGTCACCCTTGGAAGAGGGGGCTAGCCTGCATCAAGATGGGAAAGTCCAGAGCCACTTCAGCCTGGAAGTCAAAACCTTCCCTGCAACCTTGCAACCTGTAACAATCGAGTCCCAGGCAACAGCATCCTCAGATATGGAGGGTACAAGTCCTACAGGGTCTCTTTCAGGGTTTCATTCTTGGGCTGGGGCATGAGGGGGACAGGATAGAGTGGTCTTGGTGGTGACTTTCTTTTGAATTGTCATTTGTTGGGCTGCTTTTGCCCCACCCCATAAGAAGCAGTGTTAGCCCAGAGACAGGGGGAGAGGCCTAGAGGATCATGGGATTGCTGAGCCCAGCACCCACCCTTCTACATTCATGACCAAATGTGAGGAGTGCAGGAGGGGGGAAGTAGGAGAGTCTCGTTGTACTGCCTACAACCCTGAACCCGGAATCAATGCTGTCACCCACTAGGCCTGCATCGCCTGTAGCCCTGAAAAGATGCTAGCAGGATGCAGTTTACTCCCTAGCAGCCACAACTCATAGCGCAGAAGCCTTGACGTGGGCCCTGCAGACTCCTTTCCTCCCTGACTTCTCAAGCGGGGATTTGAGTAAGCCCACGGAACAGTGCTCACAAGGTACTTGCAACCCTCAAGTCTGTTGGTGGAAAAAAAAACATGACCATCTCCTCGGGAGGAAGCTGCCTCCCTGGCCAAAGCAGAGACCAATACAGACAAGCCCACGTGGGGAAGCTTTCCTCCACTGACTCTATTGTCAAGTCCAGAGAGAAAATATCAAGAGCTCTGAGCTCTTTCCTGCTCCCCACCTTGGGGCAGATGGTTTCCTGCCCTGCCTGGAATTGTAGGTGGTGGACCCTGTTCTGATCTGCAGGGCCGGGCTCCTCCTGGCCTGAGCCACATTGGCTGGTGAGAATGGCTCTGCCCTTAGGGCCCTGCTTAGGTGAGTTCCCTCGTCCCCTGTTGGGTGGAGAGGATGATAAGGAAGAGCAGAAGGACAAGGGCTAATGAGGACAACAGTGGCGGGATCGGAAGAGGGTGGCAGCATCTCAGACCACAGCCGAGGAGGAGGACGGGGACGCCGAGCCCGCTGCTGAGGAGGATGGTGATGAGGGACTGTTCCAGAACAGCCACCGCCGCTTGGGCTGCCTCCGCAAGTGTAAATAGTCCTCTTTCTCGCGTTCCTTCCGTGCACGCTGATAGTGGTCCTCTTCTTTCAGGTACCAGACTGGTGGCCATCGGTGCTTCTCGAAGTACTCCTGGTTTTCTAGAGCACAATGTAAGCGGTGCTGAGTTAGGAGGTAGCCCCAGGTCAGCAGTAAGCTCACCCTGCCCATGGTCCAGGTTAGCTCCTGCTGCACAGGCTGCTGGGGCTGGCACAGAGACCCACCTGGGGACATGGCCTTCATGTCTCGGGGGAACTTGCGGCACACGTTGTTGTAGTTGGTGCAGATGTGGTGGAGACACCAGTCGGCCAACTGATAGGCACAATGGAACTGTGGATGGCACAGAAACGCATTCCTGTTGGAGCAGGGACTCTGCATAGGGGCCTACGGAGCAGCAGCACTGGGCAGTGCCCGCAGATGCTCTGCAGTCATAAAGTGCCCCTCCCCCCACAAGCGAGTTAACCCAGCACTGAGCAGGACAATGCTTGATGTGGGCTCCTGGGCCCCATTACCAGCCCCCAATCGCCACCAGCATGTGTGCATCTGTCCCGCGTGCCCTTCCTCTGGCATCTGCAGACAAAACAGTCTGCGCTAAGAAATGGGCAGCCAAGTTTAGAAAACCCAGCACCAGCCACACTCAAAGACCAAATTCCTAGCACTGTGACTCCTTTGGCAATAAGGAGGGAGGCAGTTAACTTCAGAGGGGCAATCCTCAGTACCCCCTCCCCCCACCCTATTCTGGAGTACCCTTTGATGACCTGTGGTCTCGGCCCCTCCATCTCATGGCCAGCTGTCTTTGCAGATATCCAAAAGTTCTCTAGTTGCTTCCTGGTATATAAGATGATAGAAACTCTGCCCAGCTGGCAAGCCAAGGCTGTACACCATCCCAACCATCACCTCCCAGAACCCTATACTCTGCTTATGGGCAGACAGAGCCTGGAGTCAACCTTTGCCAGTCTCTTCCCCAACTGTGATACCTGTGCCAATTCCAGGAACACAAGGACATCCCCATCAATGTCCACCATCATCTGGGTTGCTTCCATCAGCCCCGTCACTGTGTACTGCTCTGTGACACACACAAACAGCCACCAATCAGCTGAAGACACATGGAAATGGACCCACAGTGCTTTGTACCACGTCAGGGGCCTGCTGCAGGGAGGGGTGCAAACTGATCAGGCCATGGATAAGTCCCAACAGGCCAGAAAGGCCAAGGGAGACTTTAAGTTTGTTCCTATTGGAGGGAAACTGGCCCGGGGGTAAGACCTCAGGGGGGTAGGGATAGGAAATGAGAAAGATGCGAAGCCTACTAAGAGGTCTTTTCAGAGTACATATGTCCCACCGTATAGTCTGATATGACACAGTCCCATTCCTTCCTCAGCCACCGATGAAGAGGGCCTGAAGTCTGGGGCTTGTTGATATGAAAACAGCCTGAGAACTCTGATCTGGAACTGTGGGTTAAACCTTTTTACTTATACTAATTTAAATTTTATTAATAAATGATGCATTAGTCTTCCAGTTTACAGTAAAACATTTATATGAAGGAAATAAACTCGCTTGGTCCTGAATTTAATGAAAAGTATCAGAATGAGCCCATGAGATATTTTATCCTTAAAAGATGAGTTCTTTTTTTTCTAGCTCCTCCCACAGGAAAGGCCTGGAAACAGGAAGTATCACAAGACCAGTTAGCATTTCCATTGTCAACTATAAGAAACCAGGACTTTCAAGCTGGGGGTGGTGGCACACACCTTTAATCCCAGCATTCGGGAGGCAAGGGAGGAGGTTCTCTGTGAGTTCGAGACCAGCCTGATCTGTAAGAGCTAGTTCCAGTACAGTCTCCAAAGCTCCACAGAGAAACCCCGTCTCGAAAAACCAAAAAAAAAAAAAAAAAAAAGAAAAGAAAGAAAGAAACCAGGACTTCCAGCATGTCCAGGTCTTGGGTTCATCACCATAAAGAAACCAGGGTGCTCTGAAGAAATGCTAAGTCCAGGATGGAGGCAGAAAGGTACAGGGTGGAGCTAAGACATCTTTTCATTCCAGATAGCACAGAAGCCAAGGACTCTAGAGTAAACATGAAGAGACTGCTATTGTTAAAGGTATAATATTTGAACTTCAGTAGGAATAAATGTGTTCGTTGTGGTGGTACATGCCTACAGTGCTAGCACTCTGGAGGATGAGGCAGGAGGATCAGGAGTTCAAAGCCAGCTTAAGCCACATAGCAACTTCAAGGCCAGCCTGGGCTTTTTAAGATCCTGTCTTAAAAACAATAAACAAACAGAATAAATACAATTAAATGAAACCAATCAAATTTGTTCATGATAATGCTTTAAAAATTATCTCTCTCTCTCTCTCTCTCTCTCTCTCTCTCTCTCTCTCTCTCTCTCTCTCAGACAGAAATTGGTTGCCCTCAAAAGTGGGAGGAAAGAGTTGCATTTCAAAAAGTTATACAGCGAAGGAAAGGACCAAGTATTACTGTCTTTCCTACAGACTCGATTCCTGGGTAACCAAACAATAAGTGATGGCTGTGTATCACTTTGCAGAAGAAGGTATAGCATTTTTTTGCAGCACCCAATTAGTTGATAGATTTAGGCAGTGATACTCAATAGCTACTAAAACCACAAAAAAGAAAACCAGGCAATCTTTGTCTCTTGATGAAGAGAAATAACCTATAAAGCAGTTGGTTTTATTTGTTTGTTTGTTTTTAAGCACGCACCAGGATATAGAACCTAAATTGAATGCCAGTTTACAAGAAATATGGTGGGGAGAGAATTTTATTAACTACACCATGAACGTGGAATAATGGGGGCTGGGGTTCTAGCTCAGTTGGTAGAGTACTGGTCTACCATGCATGAAGCCCTGGGTTCCATCCCAGCACCACACAAACTAGGTGGGGTGGTGCACAACTATAATCCCAGAATTTGTGAGATGGAAACAGAAAGATCAGAGTACGAAGCAAGTTTAGCCTTCAGAGGACCCCATCTCAAAAAAAGAATGAAAGAAAGAAAGGAAGGAGAAAGAAAGAAAGAAAGAAGAAAGGAAAAGAAAAAGGTAATTTAGTCAGTAAAAATCTAGATCACAGAAAACTGCAAGACCAGAAGACCAGTGTCGGGTTTGCTCCCCAAAGCACACAGAAAGAACCAACTCCCAAAAGCTGTCCTCAGACCACCACACATACACACAATAAATAAATGTATTTTAAAAAGACCAGAGTTGGAGTAGGCTGGCTACTTTTTGTCAGCGTGACACAAACTAAAGTCAACCTGGGAAGAGAGAATGTAGCAGGCTTTCTTTTGGGCCACCAACCAGCTCCCAAATCACGACTCAGAGACTTAATATTAGTTATGAATGCTCAGCCTTAGCTTACGCTTGTCCCCCTAGCTCTTATAACTTAAATTAACTAGTTTTGCCTCGGGGCTTTTTATCTTTTTTTCATTCTGTATGTCCTATTCTGTATCTGGCTGAATGGCAGCTAGCTGCCTGCCTGCCTGGCGCCAAGCCTCTACCCACCTTTCTCCTTCATTCTCTTCTCCCTTCTCTAGATTCCTATTTATTCTCTCTACCCATCAGCCCCCCCCCAATCTCTCTACTGCCTAGCTATTGGCAGTTCAGGTTTTTATTAGACCAATCAGGTGTCTTAGGCAGGCAAGGTGAAAGAGCAACATACCTTCCCATAATTAAACAAATGTAGCACACCTCTGCATAGTTAAAGTAACATTCCACAACAAGGGAACCTGGATCCAGGAAATGCCTCCATGAGGTTAGCCCGGGGGCATGTCTGTGGGGGCATTTTCTCCATTACTGATTGATGTGGGAGGGCCCAGCCCACTGTGGGCATAACCAATCCTAGGCAGGTGGTCCTGGTTGTATAAGAGCAAGCTGAGCGAGTCATGGACAGCAAGTCAGAAAATTCCATCTTAGTCTCCACTTCAGATCCTGCCATGGTTTCCCCTGATGGACTGCAACTTGTAAGCTAAATAAACACCTTCCTCCCCCAAGTTGGTTTTGGTCAGTTTTTTTAAATCACAGCAGCAGAAAACAAACTATGACAATTTGTTTTTCAACAAATAACTTTAGGAAGATTCTTTTTTTTAATGGGCAGGAACTCACTGATTAAATGAAATTCAAAAAGTAATACACACACAAATAAAATCAAGCTATAATATTTAAAGGAAGCATGGTTGGATGATAAAACTATAGAGTGTAAGGAAGTGAGTCTGTAAGAATTACTCTAAGAGAAGAGTAATGGGTGGTGTGGTTTCCTCAACAGAAAAGAGAGGAACTGTAACAGTGTGTGTGTGTGTGTGTGTGTGTGTGTGTGTGTGTGTGTGTGTGAACTTCTGGTGTGGCCAGGGAGGTTCAAGTTCCTGACATCCATCAAGATTAGAAAAGGATTTTGATAGCCTCAAAAAATGTAAAGCCACTCACATTTTCTGTACATTCACCAACCACCCGAAACTCAGCATCTCTCGCAGACCCTTTAACAAGGCACATACTCATGTTTTAGTGCACATTTTCTAATGTTCACAGATCCTTCCCAGGGGTAAAAGTAATTAGATGTTACTTTCTGAAAGGCCTTCCACAGGGTAGTGCAGCTTGACATTTTAAACGGCAGCCATGGGAAAATTACCTATGTGGGCTTAACCAAGGGTGCTTCTCTGACTTGCTTCCAATTCCTGCTCTAATGAAAAGAACTCCTTTATGGGTCTAGTTTTTCCCTGAGGTAATTACTTTAGAGTTTTTTAAAAATGGAATTACTCCATGTCAGAATTAGAAATGCTGTGGTCTCTGGAAAGATCACACCTTTTTTCCATGGGCACCTAAGGGCGCTATAACTACAACCCCCAGATACAGCCCTTGCTTCTCTCTTGGGTCACTGGACTCCCCTTGCAGGCCTGGCTCTTAATATCCTGGGCTGATCAATGAGTCCTGTGTTCTTCCTGTGATTGACACGTCCCCTGTAATTCCTCTGTCATTACAGGACTGCTATCTCCCTAGTATCTGCTGCTAATCTTAACAAAGTGCCTAGGGTTCCAGCAGCTTTGACACTGGCCCTTGCCTGAAACCTGACTCAAGTTCTAAGGCTCTTCTCTCTGCCCTCTCCTGACCCATCTTGACTGCAATGCTAACGCTAGGATCAAAGTCAACAGCAACATAAACACCAACCCCAGCATCAACAGAAGCCACCTGCCTGCCTGGGTCTCCATCTTTAGATCCCCTTCCCACTGAGGGAACCTGGGTGCCTACTGCTGCATCTCCCAGTCACCCGGATCTTCCTTTACCCTGAGGGCTTCTGGGACTGGCTCATTTTAAAAGCTGAGCTATGGCTCTCAAATCCCCCTCCCCCACTGTGTGTGTGTGTGTGTGTGTGTGTGTGTGTGTGTGTGTGTGACTCTAGGAACTAAACCCAGGGCCTTTCACAAGAAGGCAAGTACCACCACTGAGCCACAACCCCATTGCTATGTCTCTTTGAGACAAGGTTTGCTAAACTGCCCAGAGCAATTAAACTTCTGCAGCTCAAGCAAAACTTGAACTCAGGCTCCTTCTGTCTCTGCCTCTGGTTAGCTCTGATTACAGCCTGTAGCGCCGGGCCCAGCTTTCACAAGCCTTACAAGGAACTATAAGGGGTTACTCAGTGCTTGCTTTATGTTTCTGGAAGAGGTAGAAAAGGTGACGTCAAGGAAGAGGAAGGAGAGGAAGAAGAAAAGAACGGGAAGCTGACCAGGAGAAGAAACAAACAGCAGAATATGTTCTATTCCTTGTGACTTCTTGATCTTGCCTGTGTGAAGGTCAAAGTGTCACCACCTGTAGAGACCATTTTGTGATGTCACCAGACCTCCAAGGTGACCCCACCCACCACTGCACATTTGTGTCCTTAGACCAATCTACACACATCAGCAGACTGAATTCTTTCTTTTTAATGAGCATGTGTATTTTGCCTCCATGTCTGTCTGTGTGAGGGTGTTGGATCCCCTGGAAATGGAGTTACATATGGGACCTGGGAATTGAACCCTTGTCCTCTGAGAGAGGCGCCAGTGCTCTTAACCACTGAGCCATGCCTCCAGCCCCCAGCAGACTGAATCCTAAGAGCACTTTTTCCCTTGGCATCCCAGTCTGCCCTCAGGAGCAGAGAGGTAACAAAAGATACATAGTCACTCCCTGGGGTTGCCATGACCTTGCCCCAGGGAGGTCCAGGCACACTACTGTTAGTTACCTGTGAGGGCGACCAAATGTGGTAGGCAGAGGCGGTTGGCTAGGACTATGAGCTTCATGTCATCCAGGTCTGGGCTGGAGGTGAACATGCCTGTGTAGAGGTACTCCAGCACGGCCCTCATGCAGCTCTTGCTCGTGTATGGAAACACCACCTAGGGTAGGAAAAGCAAGCAGGGGCATGATGTCTAAGGCGGCCCAGAACATCCCCGACATAGCAGGTGAAGACCTCACTTGGTGGGCTAGTCGCCTCCAGCCAACTAGCCTCCTGGGTTGCTCCTGAATCCTCTTAGGGAACTCCCATAACCTTGGCACCCAGCCTCGGTGACCTGACAGGGTTAGTGAGTGGGGCTCTGGTGTCTTCTAAAGGGACCTAGATTCATGACATCTTCCTGAAGCCACGCTAGCAGGAGGAAGCTTGAAGGGGCCATTGGGTCAGCTACTCCCCTGAGTCCCGGGTGCCTGCAGCTAAAGTGGGTTACAGAATGAGCAAAGGGAACCAGCTGGCTGCTCGGCACTGCTGCTTGGGGCCTGTGGGATCCCTTCAGAGCAGTAGGGAAACAAAACCTGCTCTCTCATCAATGCGAGTCTCTCTGGACTGGCTGGAAATCGGGTGGTGATTTAAAACGTGTCTATGGTGCTGAGAAATGCCCAGGGAAAAATCCTGGCCCCATATCCTGTATGTCCAACTTCTGTTCCCACTTCAGAGACCAGTTCAGCTCTTAAGCACTCTGCTCCTCTTTCCCTTTCTCCTTCCTTTCCAGAAACCTTAGGGAGCTCATATTCTAATTTACCCAGCGCAATCGCTGGCTGCTCGTAGTTCAGGTTTTCAGTCGAGGATATGGTGAGCATGGTCTAAGGGGTAGGAACTGAGCAGGGGGGTGGAGGGCAGCCAAGGTACCTGGCAGAAGTCAAAGACCATGTCCCTGCTCTCCAAAGAAATTACAACCAGATGTGAAAACCACATGGGGATACTTTGAATTGTATACATCGGTGCAAAGTAGAATCTTACAAACTAACTATAAGATAGAGTGACGGGCACCTGATGGTCCAGGAGACAGCGATGATGGAAAACACCAAGGGCTGTGTCTGGGGCGCCCTGCTTGTCTGAGAGAATGAAAAGAGGGAATAGACACAGGAGAACATTCCTAAGGGCTGGCCAACAAACCTCTTCCAACTCTAGGCTGAGTTGGTACCTGAGAGGCTGGCAAATGAGGAGGAGAAGGATGGGATGGGCACTGACCAGAGAGAAAGGGGTCTGTATTCGTAAATGCTTTTATACTATGTATTTGATGCGCTGACACCTAGGGCCTGGCTGGTCCTTTCCAGCCTAGCCAGCCAGCTCCTAGAGCTAGCAAAGGAGCTGCCTGCAAGTGGGCCTCTCTGCCAAACTCACACTCCAGTCTACCGTTTCCTGCTCCAATCACTCCAGAGCCAGGTATCAGATAACCAGGACACCTCCACCTCCACTTCCTGGCTGACTCTTGATCTTCCCTGTGTGGCCCCACGGGGTACATTCCCCCTCCTTGGGATCTATATCAAACCCCTTTTCAATGCCATTATCTCCTGATCTATTGGTCTCCCCATAGCTCAGTAAAAATAAAACCTTTCTTTGAAGACACTGCTGACTTCAGCTTGGAACACGGACTTTTCTAGTGGTTCTGTGTGTCTCAGAGAAGCAACAGAGTTTAATTAAGGAATCAAGGACCTGTCAATCCTGAGTTCTAAACCTACCCTCTTTTTTTCTAGTTGCATAACTTTGTACAAGTTACATAACTTCTCAGGGCATCCCTTTCCTGCATATAACAGGTTCGGCTTACTATCTGTATATCTGGGTAAATGAAATGAGATATATATGGATGAGTTTTCCAAACTACTAAGACAGTGTTATTCCCTCTCCTGGGATATTGAAAAACTTTTGGCTATTTGAAGCATCTCATAAACTTGTTTTGAGACCATCACTGTACTTAGAACATGACCGATACTGAGGAAAGTTCCATTAATGATGGTGTCTCAAATTCAAAGATGTAAATGTCTCTCCCATCCTCTCCCTTCCCATCTCCAGCCTCACCTCCCTGGTAGAACTCTCCACAAATGGCCCCCCAAACATGGCAGCCATCCAGTCACAGCTGGAAATCAGTAGGGGTTTATGGGCGCTGATGGTCCCATCATCCAGGATGAAGGTCACATCTGTCCAGGAGGAGAAGAGGCATCATGTAAGGACACAGTGGGTATGCCGGAGAACCAGCCCCAGGGGCAGTCACTGGGTCCTGACTACCCCCTGACTTCTATGTGTAATAGGCGGTAGACAATCAAGCTGTTGGCTTGAGCAGGAGGACAACCATATTTCCAGGGCACTGGGAGCTGAAGCCAACTCCCAATACTAAAGAGATAACTCAGGCCCCTCAGAAAGTTTCCTTGAGAGAACCCTTATCTTCTAAGAATGTCCCATACCTGAGAAGGTACCCTTTGCCAAGCACTCCTTCACCCGGTTGGTCCGGCGAACATGGAAGGCCTTGGTGATCTCCTGATTCATGAAGGCCTCGTTGTTGAGAATGTTGGCCACCATCATACGTAGATCAAAGACCTCTAGCAGCTCGGCAATGTGGGCGATATGCATGAGGTCCCGCTCATTTTCACCTAGCTCCCCTGTGTACAAGTACTTGAGAACAGCCCGGAAGGGCCCCGGCTGAATGGAGTTATCCATCTTCACCACCACCATCAGCCGGGATTTGAAGGTCAGAGGATCCTCTGCCATTTCTTCCTGTATACTCACAAAAGCTCGGCTCCAGGAAGAGAGCACACGGCCCCTGCCTGGCAGGTACCCTGTTCCATTACCTCTTAAGATCCCATCACTGGTTGAAGCCCGGAGGCCAGCAGGACCAGAGCCCCCAGCCTCATCCACACTCTCACACACGTCAAAGCTGGCTGCCCGAAGCAGGAAGTCCCGCCCATGGTGGTGATGGTGATGATGGTGGTGTTGCTCAGGGTGGCCCCGGTGGTCCTCTGGGTGGGGGCCCCCAGGCCCTGAGGGGCCCCCCAACTCCTCCTCACTCAGGTCCATGAGGAACAAGTCATAGAATTTGGAGGAGGAGGTGGAGAGGTAGATCTTGTGGGCAAAGATGCGCACGCGTTCCTGCAGCACCAGGATGACATCCGCACAGAGCGGGTCTTCCAGGAGGTGGGCGGGGCACTCCTCGCTGCTGGAGGGGGGGTCGGGCACCACGATGATGGGGGGTGGTGGCTTCGGGGGCAGGAAGGGTGCTTGCAGTAGAGGCCGCTGCACATTGCGCAGATGAGATTTCCAGAACTGCAGGTGACGGCGGGAGATGAGTGCAGCCCGGATGGCATTGTCAAAGACGTCCTTGATACCGAACTGGGCCACCACACTGGTCTCGTAGTAAGGGATCCCCAGCTCCTTGGCCACTTCCCGACCCTTCTCTGGAGGGAGGATCTCATTAGGCTTAATGGGCCTGGGGGCGTGCGAGAAGGGAAAACAGGCTTGGTTGGAGGTGCAGGGAGCCTGGCCATTCTTTCACAGGCTGGAGGGGCTACTCAACATCTGCCCTTCCATCTACTCACAGATGTCCCTTAGTATCTGAAGGGGATCAGTCCCAAGATCCCCCTCAGATTTCAAATCTGTGGAAAATCAAGTCCCTCATATAAAATGTCATTATAGTTACATTAACTGCGCATATCCTTACTATTCTTTTAAAACTCTTCTAGATTATTTATGCAATATAAGTGCTATGCTATAGTTCAGTGTTTCTCAACTTGAGAAATCCACTTGGGAGGTCAAATGACCCTTTCACAAGGATCACCTAAGACCATGAGAAAACACAGCTATTGACATTATGGTTCATAACAGTAGCAAAAATTATAGTTACAAAGTAGCAACGAAAATACTTTTATGGCCGAGGGTCACCATAGCATGAGGAACTGAACTGAGGAGTTGCAGCACTGGGAAGGTTGAGAACCACTGCTATGGTTGTTGTCATGCTTCATTTAGGAAATAATGACAGGGGCGACGGGAGTCTGGACATTCCCATTCACGTTGGCTGAACCCACAGACATGGCTCATGATATGAAAAGACAACTATATTAGCATCACAAAATTATAAGGCCCTTTCCTACAAATATTCTCACACACGTCTTTTCCTTATGCCTTTCTTCCCAGAATATAGCACAGGACTGTTCCCGCGATGGTATACAATGACACGGAAGGATGAATGAGTGAGTGAGTGAGTGAATGAATGAATGAGCATGGGTGGAGAGATGTAAGGGTCAGTGGGACTCCTTCAGGGCTGAGCAGGGAGCCACAGCGATGCCCTGCCCCCTGCCCCTTCCCTCTCCCTGAGTACCCGCACCCCTACCTAGCCAAGGGTCTCCTGGCCCTGTTAACAGCTTCCAGGTCAGCATAGCGCAGGTCCAGCTGGCAGCCCACCAGAATGACAGGAGCTCGGGGGCAGAAATGCTTGATTTCTGGGTACCACATGGTCTTGACATGGTGGAGGGAGTTGGGGTTGGCAATGGAGAAACACAGAACCACCACATCAGATCTGGGGAGAGGGAGAGAAAAGTTACCTGCCCCTGAAAAGAGGAAAACATGTCTGGCTGCTCCTGCCCCCTCAGCTACAGCCCACCCCGTCTTATGAACCCATTTTCACTATCTGCTACATAATGTAAATTAACTGTAACTATAATTTACATGGGCATTTAGAGCACAAAAATCCATTTGGCCTTATAACTATCTTATGAGTCAAAAATTATCATTTTGGGCCTGGGGATACGGCTAAGAGGGTAAATGATTTTTATGTAAGCATGAAGATGTTAAGTTCAGATCCTCAGTACTCATACATACACATTGAAAAGTCAAGCATGGCTGTACGCATTTGTATCTCCAGGGACATCCCTGGGCTCTTTAGCCAGCGAGACTAGCAAAAACTGTGTGCTCTGGATTCAGTAAAAAGTCCTGTCTTGTCAGGCCTGGTGGCCTATGCCTTTAATCCCAGCACTTGGAAGGCAGAGCAGGTGTATCTATCTCTGTGAGTCCAAGGCCAGTCTGGCCTACAAAGCAAGTTTCAGGACAGTCAAGGCTGTAACACAGAGAAATCCTGTCTGGGGCGGAGGGAGGCCCTGTCTTAAAAAACAAAACAAAACAAAAAACCTAAGGTAGAAGAAGACATCCTGGATGCCCTCTAGCCTCCACAGTTACACACACGGGTGCAAGACTCCCTTCCCTCCAATTTGCGCACTCACAAACGTGTATATGCCAATATACACATCTACACACACACACATTACTATTTTACTAGGCCTGGTGATATAGGCTAAAAATTTGGGAAGCTAAGGCAGAAAACTTCCAGTGCAAGGTTGCCTGGGCAACCGTTAGTTCAAGGCCAATCTAGGCAACTGAGGAAGACCTTGTCTTAAAATAAAGTTCTTTGCTTGTTTTGCTTTACAAAGGGCTAGAAATATACGTAGCCCAGTGGTAGAGCACTTGCCTATGATGCATGACGCTCTAGATTCAATGGCCAGCATTGAAAGAAAAAAAAAGGAAGAAATAAATGATCATCATCTCAGAGTGAGAAAAGTCAGCCCAGAAATGCTCAGAGTCAGTAGGTTGCAGAGCTGGGACTCAAACCAGGCCTCCAAGCCCACAACACCTCCAGTCCCAGGGAATACCCACCATCCATTCTTTCTCACAGTTTCTACTGCAGGGAGTTACTTAGTTCCTTAGAATGGAGTGAAAAGTCTCCTGCATGACTCCTTACCTTCCATAAGCAAATCGCCGGTCTTTGTGGTGGTCACCAAATGTGTCCCAGAGGCGCAGGGAGACGCTGACATCATCTACCACATCTCGGGAGCGTTCCAGCACCTGGGCATGGGGGTAGACAGGACAATGGCTCTTGGGGGTAGATGCCAGCTCAACCCTGATGACGAGGACAGGGCTGGCATATGTGTCTCACACAACCTGCAGTCCACCTGAAATCTCTGGAGACTCAATAACAAGGGGAGTCTCCATGCTGAGCAGAAGCGGGGGAGACCTCAAAAGAGCACACTAACTGTTGGAGAAGGAAATGTTATTACTTTGGGCTACGCTTGCACAGGACATGGTGCCCAGCCAAAGCTAGACTCCTAGCCACCGGCTTACCCATTTGTGCTGGCTGGTTTTATGTCAACTTGATATAAGCTAGTCATCTCAAAGGAGGGAACCTCAACTGAGAAAATCCTTCTATAAGATTCAGCAACAGGAGGTCATTTTCTTAGTGATTGATGGGGGAGGGCCCAAGCCATTGTGGATGGTGCCATTCTCGGGATGGGTTCTATAAGAAAGCAGGTGGAGCAAGCCAGGGGAATCAAGCCAGTAAGCAGCTCCCTTCCGTGGCCTCTGCATCAGCTCCTGTTTCCAGGTTCCTGCCCTGCTTGAGTTTGTGTCCTGATTTCCTTAAGGTGTGGAAGTGTAAGCTAAATAAACCCTTCCCTCCCTAATTTGCTTTTGGTCGTGGTGTTTCATCACAGCAATAGAAGCCCTAACCAGGACACCAATGAAAACACAAATGGTCAAAGATACCTCCCTGGGGGTTGGACTTTCTTCAGATTTCTTTCAAGGGGCTCCTTCTACTTCATCCACCTCTGCCCCACCCCTAGGGGGCGCTCATGAGCTGCAGCGACACCAAGCTACAGTTCAAGATATATAGCATGGACATCCAACCAAGGGGCCTTTGTGGTCTTACCTCCTGGCATACTCGATACTGGTCAATGGCCCACACTGTGGGCACATGGGTGGCAAGAAGCTGGTACTGGGTGAGGGTGGCATTGCAGGCCCGGGCACAGATGAGCCTGGTCTTGCCCACGGCGTTGTCCCCCACCACCACGCACTTGATGGTCTCTACGTTTGGCCTTTCATAATCCATGTCAGAATCCATTAATTGGGACCTGAGGGGCAGTAAAGGCGATATCAGGCATGCTATTATACCTGAGGACCAGGGTCGGTGCAAGCAGCCCTCCTCCACTGGGTCTGCGACCTTGCCAAGCATTAGCGTTGATGTGAAGAGGGAGGAGTGGGCAACATTCAGGGAAGTAGCTTTGCAGGGGCTCTAGGAGACAGGAGCTCATTCAGGCAGAGCAGTACAATGCCACCAGATGGATGACTTATCTCCCTCTGGACCCCCACCATCCTGCAGCTGGGCTTCTGGATGAAGGCAGTCTGTGAGAGATCCCCTGTGCCTGGTCCCATCCGCACTCCCCCAGAGAGAGGGAATCTGCGTGGTAGCTCTCTCATCCTCTCCTCCTCTTCCCTGGGACTGTAGCAGCAGCAGAACAAACAGCTGAGAGAAGCAGACTTGGGGCCAGGTCCCACCCCTTCCCAGCATGCTCCAATGCAGAGTCACTTTAAAATTTAATGGACATGTCGGGGCTGGGCAGCAGCTCTCCCCTGGCCCTTTCATATGGTAGGTTTCCAAAACTCAGCCTGCTCACCTCCACCCTCCTACCCTAGCCTCTTTTATGGGCTAGGAGAGGTTTTTCTGGCAGCCTCTCTGAGTAGGGGGCCTTCTATGTACCTGCCGAATCCACAAGCCTCCCCTCCTTACTCTGTTTCTGATGCCTTGCCCACCTGTCTGCTCAGCTGAAGACTTCAGATGGGGATGGAGGGAGTCCTAGCCCAGAGCAATACACTCTGTGGTCCATGGGCCTTCCCATCCCCTATCTGGGCTACCTGCAGGATCCCACAACCAGCTCTCAAGAGTAAGGTCTACCTCCTTCCAACCTCCTACAGAGGAAGAGGCTTAGATTGGAGTCCCACTTCTCTGGCTCTCTGAGGAGAAGCTAGACAAACTGTCTGTGTGGGTAACTGGGTGCTGGAGGACGTTCAGGGTCAAGCTTAGCCTAAATTGCTGCCTCAGTTTCCTTTGGTGGCAGGCAGAGAAGTAGTATGTCCATCCCAGAGAGTAATGGATCAGATGGACAGAGGCACTTCTCTAGTTAAAGTGTGGTATCAGTGGTTAAGCTGAGGCCCTCAGTTTGAGGAGACGCTGAGGACAGTCTCTCCATTGGCACCTATCCTTCTAGAAGGGGTAAACAGGATGGGAAGGGAGAAGGGGCAGGGTAGGTGCGCTTAGGGCTATCAGTTTGCCCCCTGCTCATTCCTGTGTACCGTGAGACATCTCTGGGCTAGAGCCACCTGGAGTAAGCCTTCCCAGGTACAGAAAGGCTGAGCACAGAGGAGTCCTGGAGGCTGCCCAGGCACTTTACTGCTGAGCCATCAAGTCCAGAGCCAAGGCGCCAGCAGCAGCAGAGGAGCTCTCCCTGGCAGGCTGTAACTAGATGCTAACATGCAGGAATGCAGAACTGAAATACTCAAGTAACATGGCAACTGGGATTTGGGCAAGTGGATGCAGCTCAGCAACCTAAGCAAAAAGTGCAGCAAGGGCTTTTCAATGAGACAAGCTCATCACCCTCCTTGGAATTTTACAGGATCTGGACCCTTCCACTCCAAGGGGTCTCCACCAAGCTCTGATCCAGTCTGTGCAGCAACTATCTGCAACATCCTTCTCCCTCCTGGTCCTGTCCACCAGGCAACTGCTATAGCTTCCTCTCCTCTCTTCTGAACTGAGAACATAAAAACTTCCTTGACAGTTCCTAGTCTCAAGTTAGACAGATGAGGGAGGTGTGGGTACCAGGCAGAGCCAAGTAGGTGTGGTTTCTGCTTTATGGGATGGATAACAAAGAAAGGAAGGAAGAAAGAAAGAAAGAAAGAAAGAAAGAAAGAAAGAAGGAAAGAAGGAAACAAAGAAAGGAGGAATCTCACCTATGAAGACAGAAACCCAGAGGGCAACAGAACTCCTTCCAGCATGTAGGTCTGGAAGCAAACGGGAGAGGGACACACAGAGGAGGGGCCTGGGATCTTAAATCGAGGGGCGTGTCCAAATTCAGCTGCTTTATGACATAGCACTCACACACACACACTGTGATTTTGCTTCCAGAGTTCAGGAGGGGACAGCGAGCCAACAGGTAGGAGAGTGATACAGGAAGCAGCCTGCCTAAATTGCTGTCTAACCTGAACACTCCAGCCCATCCCTTCTCTGGCTGCCCCTTCCCACTTCTCTCACACACTCACCAACTGGCTCTCCCCTCTTTTGGTCATCATCATCCCTGTTGCAACAGCAAGCTTCACTGTCCTATCTAGAAAGAGGCAAAGCTCTTCACTTTTTGTGGACATCAGTCTCTACCTCCAGAAAATGGGTATGATGGTGTTGGAAGAAAATTTTTGAGTTTTGGTAAACTCATGCCAAGAGAGTCTGGGTGAAAGAAGGCATTTGTCTTCTTATGTAATATAGTATTATATAATGCTAGATTGCATATCATGTGTAATTATATCTTTCTTTAAGATACAGGCTGGCCCAATTAAGCCAGGAGAACTTTTGTCTAATCGGGCCTATCTTATTAAACAAGGATCCTGTCATGGAGACACCATGCCAACATTAATATAATGTCTGCTCTAGAATATTACTACTTTCTGGACTGCTGCTGATGCATGATGATATAAACCACTCAGTGAACTTCCCCACTGCCCCTCTGGCACCCCTTTCTCCAGTGACTCAGACTTTTTGCTCACAATTGTCTCAACCCCATTCCTTCAGAGACTCCTGACCAACCACCCTGACCTGGGTATCACAACCTCCAATTCACTCCACTCCTTGACAATCCCAAAGTCACTGGTATTTCCTCCCCCAACTCTTGTCCCCAAATCACCACTCCCCTCTTCACAAACAGCCCTCTGCACAACCGCTTTCCCAGTTCTTTGGACAGATTCAAAGGTGTGCTCAGATTACCCACAAACCTCAAGGGCTCCCAATCCCACCCCCGCACCCCTACACACACTCTTTGCAGAGCTCAAAAGCCCCCCTTTCCCTCCCACAGCTGATAGGAGGCTTGTTCATCTGTGGCTGCCCTAGTCTGGTTGTCAAGGAAACGACAATCTCCCTGGGAGCCTGGCTTGTCTCCTAGCAACCAATATCCCACATCTTGCATCTTACAAAAAAACGTGAAAGGGAGGAAAATCGGGAAAATGAAAGTAAAAATCAAGGAATATGGCTAGAAAAGGAGAATCTGGAGGAGAGGAGCAGAGGAAGGCTGGATTCGGAATTAAAGGAGCTCCCACTGGGAAGCTGACATTGTAATATGGGCGAAGGTGGAGGGGTGGATCCTCCCCACGCAGAAAACGTAAAGCAAGGCCCAAGGGGATCTTGAATGATCACGTTAACAGAAACAGAAGCCTAAATACAGGATAAACCTTTCCAATCCGAGGATACCCAAACATTAACAAACAAAGCTCAACATTTCCACCAGTACTTTGCCAAAACTCAGCTGGACAGACCACAGTGGAGTTGACTTCAAAGAAACATCTCCACAACCGTCATCAAAGACTCCAATTGTACTGACTTTTAAAAAAAAGAAAGAAAAATATACACCTCTACCACTCTTAACCTCTTATTTTTCCACCTGACATGCTGCCCTGCACATACAATTTTTTAATGAAATAAATAGAGAAGGGGGAGGGGCACACCACGCCAATGCAAAACATACACTTTTCGCTAAAAACACCCAAGAAAGATGAGTTTCTCTCCCCTCTGAACCAAGCAGCCTCAGCAAGAGCCCAAGGGAAGAGTGGAGACCGGGGGCGGGGGGAGGCAGGTGGGGCACATGCAGGAGTGGGGAGGGCGCTGGACTGAGCCAAGGCGAGGTGGCATTTGCAGAGGCTGCTTGCAACCCGGCCACAACAGAAATCAATCATGTACTTACACCACTACATGTGACGGGGTAATTTCTAGTGTAGGGAACACATCTCTTCCTGCTAAGCACGTTCATTTTAGTGAGATGTCTGGGGTCACTCCTCGCGTGCAAGTTGGGGCGCCGCCGACGCCGCTGCTCTGTGCCGGGGATTCAGCTTCCTGGGGTCCCGGTTCGGGTGCGATCAGAAACTCTGGCACAGGAGCCCAGGCCGGACCGCGGCGCGTGAGCAGCCTCGCGCGCTGCACTGCAGCCACTGCCTCTTCCGGATCAGCATCTCCGCGCGCCCCGGGCGCCCAATGTCATGGAGGCTTGTGGAGCCGGACTGCGCGCCGCCGCTCGGACCTCAGGCCGCTGGGCCGCGCCGCCGCCCGGCTGCGCTGCGGAGGTTGCGGACGGCGCGCAGGAGAGCGAGACGCCGGGCGAGGCCGCCGCACGCGCGAAGCCTTAAGACGCCGAGCGCCGCAGTCCCAGGGACCGCTCACGACCTCCTTTTTTCATTCACAAAAAAAGCAAAGTTGGGGGTGGGGGGAAAAGGGAAGGAAAAAAAAGGGGGAAAAAATCGCACCCAGGAACGGTTGCTGTGACAGGGACCGCCCACAGCGGCGCGCGGTTGGTGGAGCGGGGAGCGAAGGGGATTGGACATCCCTAGGCCACGCCCTAGACACGCCTCCAGGCCTGGGCACGCCCCGTCGCTCCTCTGAGCTCTTTGCGCCTCCTCCCTTTTTCCCCAGGGAGCCACGGATAGTGGCCAGCAACTGACCCGGCCAGCCTCAAAAACTTGCTGGACTCTCAGAACAATTTTCCCCCAGAAGGATAGGAAGAAACTCCTCTTGGTGCGCTTTGGGAATGCGAGTTAGAAGGCCACGGAAATATTTTCCTGTTTCTCCTTGAATTCAGCCAAACCTCCACCAGTGGCACACAAAGCAAAACTTTGTCTCCAAACACTAAAATAAAAATGTGTTGATTCTAATGCCATCCGTTCTGTTAGGATGGTCTGGACTGTTAGAAATTACAAAGCGTGTCAATTATCTCTGGACTGGTTTTAAAGCCCAAACCGGCAAATCTCACATCTCAACTATCACACTTCCAACTCATTCTTTGAGAATATAGATCCATTTTAATATTAGTTTAAGCAAAATATGATATGAAAGAGAGATTTACTGGTCCTCCCCAGTATCAAATAAAAACTGACTTTTGGACAGGTTTCCTGATATTCATCTGTAATCCCAGCATACAGGGTGCTGAGGCAGGAGGATGGAAAGTTTGAGGTCAATATGGGCTATATAGGGAGACCCTGCCATAAATAAATACTCAATTCGTATTGGCTGAAACATATCTCTTGTCTGTGAGTGCTTATGATTGCAAGTTGTCCCTCAGGGTGCTTGTATACATTCAGGCTCACTTGCCATTGTGTAGGAGGTGGATTGGATACGTCACTATTGGAGGATGCTTCCCCACCTCCAGCAACTATCCAGAACTGGAGAGTTCGTGTCCAGACTCAATCTTAATGAAACAAGTGCTAGTTCAAATACAGGTTTAGGGAAGCAGCTAGCGTTTACTCGTGTCTGGTCTCCCCCCTGTACTTGGGACAGACGAGCCCACTCCATTGTTTATACTCCTAAGAGCGATTTACTTAAGGAAAACCTCCCTGGGGTCGTGCACCCAGCCAGGGCCCCTCCCACCCTGGGTCTCTCCATCCAGCTCCAAAGAGCCAGCTGGATGCTGGAAGCCTGCTGGTATCCCCTTTCATGTGTCCTGCAGCATGTCACTTGTGCAATGCTGAGGAGACAAACAGGACTCTCCTTTGCTAGAGGGGAGCCAGAGGTGCGCTTCTGAGCCTCTAGCTCTGTAGCCAATGCCTATCTTCTTGGGAAGGAAAGCCAGGCTGGGTCATGGGAGGCTCCAAGATGCAGGTCTGGGGTCTGGGGTCTGGTCTTGGACCAATGTAAATGTCAAATGAAGTATAAACCTGTTCACATTCAGCAGAGTGGCTAAGGCTGAACCAGTGGCTAGCCGGAGAGGTGGCCTGAATCACCACTCCTGCCCGGGTACACAGTGTCCAGTCCCTGCTTCCAGCTTTCCTTCAAACAAGAGTTGTACTGGATAGTTTTATATCAACTTGATACAAGCTAAAGTCATCTGAGAGGAGGGAAACACAATTGAGAGAATGCCTCCATAAAACGGGGCTGTAGGCAAGCCTGTAGGGTATTTTCCTGATTGGTGATCGAAGCGGGAGGGCTCAGTCCATCCTGTGTTCTATAAGAAACAAGGCTGAGCAAGCCATGTGAAACAAACCAGTGAGCAGCTCCCCTCCATGGCCTCTGCATCAGCTCCTGCTTCCAGGGCCCTGCCCTGTTTGAGCTCCTGTGCTGACTTCCTTCAATGATGAACAGTGATGTAGAAGTCTAAGCCAAATAAACCCTTTCCTTCCCAACTTGATTTTGGTCATGGTGTTTCATCACAATAGTAACACTAGCCGAGAGGGAAATCTTCCTGTCACCTCACCTGTCCAGCATTCAGAGTCACAGCCCACACAGCTGTCCTCCACGCTGTACCTCCTCAGGAACAAGTGTAGCCCTTCCTCCCAGGCTTCTTATCCAGCTCTGGGACCATGCTTACCTTATCTTTCTGCTCAACCCGTCCCCACCTTGGTTTGTCAAGGCAGAGTTTCTCTGTGTATTCTCCGTGTAGCCCTGTAGACCACCAGGCTGGCCTTGCCAGAGGACCACCTGTCCCTGCCTCCAGAGTGCTGGCATTAAAGGGTTGAGCCACCGCTACCCAACTTTATCCGCATAACTTTTCAATGGCGGATCCCCAAGGCCGGATCTACAGCAAGAACAGCCAGTAGCTGCCGATGGCCCACTCCGTGCCCCTTCCTATGGCAGCAGCCAGCAGCTGTCATTGCAGAACGGCAGCCTCCCTCCTCCATCACCTAAGCCTACAAACCCAGCTCCGGAGCCTGCTCTCATTGCTTCAGGTTTCTTTTCAAGCCTAGAGTCCCTGCCCACCTCACCCCTCTTCTTCCCTTCTTCCTCGTGTCCCTTTCTGCCCATTTCCTGCCGCTTAGCATCACCGCTGCCTGCTCCGTCAGCTCACTAACTAGTTGGCCATCTGCATTGCCCTTCCGGGGAGGCCTAGGCACTGCCCCGCTGTGGCCTCCCTTCCTCGCCCCGGAAGCAGTGCTTTGTTTCCGTCTTAGGGATTCCTGCCACACAAAGATAGGTTTGATTCCAACATTTCCTGTCCCAGACCCCCAGCAACCCCTCCCTCACCACAGCTGTCTGTGCCCTAAAATCCCCTTGAACCTGTTCTCTGATGTCACTTCCTCCTTCGCCAGGCTGCTGTTTTCCTGCGGCCAGACATCTGCCTATAAGCTGGAGGTTTAGCTGGAGAGAGAAGCCTCCATCCTAGTTCTCGGGGAGACATACATCTCAAGACCCAGGCTAGTCCCCACACCACCCTCTTTCCAGGGCTCTCTCCACCTCTTCCAAGGCCAACCCGGCTTGTGCAGACCCCTCCATCCATCCTTCCTCCAGCCTGTGTGTTCTATGTGCTTATCAAGCAGCTCAGCCTTCCAGATTGATAAACACATGTTCCCAGTGCCTGTCTCTTCTTGGAGTTAAGCACACCCCCCATACACACACACACACACACACACACACACACACACACACACACACGCAGAACTTGTGATGTGCCTACTGGAGCAGGTGGCATCCCCGCTCAGAACGAGCAACAAATCCAGAAGTAAATCTTGAGCAAAGGCTGAGGTACTTTGAAATACAGAGCCCAGATAAGGGGAGAAAGCACAGCCAGGATAACCAGGTTGTTCTCAGCTCTCTACCCAGGGACCACTACCAGGTGCCCATGAGGAGGAGTGACCTTTGTGGAAGCAGTCCCTTGGACACAAAGATGCTCCCCACCCCCACCTCCTATACTGGCAAACGTTTACTCATCCTTTTAAAATGGCCTGGATGTCATACCCTCCAGGAAGTCCTCCACCAACACCCTCTGTCAATCTCAGTTCCCTGACCTTCTGTGTTCCACTAGTAACTCATGACACACACCGCTGGTCACAGTGCTGCCTCTGTGCCGTCCAGTGCCGAGAAGGCCTTTGGAAGGGACGTGCGCATCCAAAGTGATATTTATCTGTTTGTTGTGCTTGTCTAGAGCTTCAACAACTCACAGTAGATGCTTAATAAATATTCGATGGGCAGATGAAAGTTTGGGGAGAGAGAAGAGTGGAGCAGAGGACAGTACCACAAAGTGGCCACTCACATATTGTTCTAAGAGGTCTCCCATGGGCTATGCCAGCCTTCTCTTCGCCTTCCCGTAGTGCTGGGCTCCCTCCAGGCCCCTGATGGAAGTGGCAGAAGGGAAGGAGCAAGATGGGAAGAGACAAAGGGGTGAAAAGAAATGAGAAGACTGTAAGTCACCTAGAAGTCAGCTGTCTCAAATGGAAAGCTCCACCTAGGGCAAGGACATGGCCGCTGATTCCCAAGTTCAGAGGTCTGATACTCTAGCTTGGGAGCCACAGGGGCAAGCTATGAGCCCAACAATGGGGTCCTGGACCAGGCCATTTTGAGTTGACTGAGTGATGTGGCAAAGAATCGTCAGTCATCAGTCATGGAACTGCGTGATACTGGACAAAGCTATCTTCCCTGGGTTTGTTTTTCTCACAGATAAGAGTGAATCCTCATGACTGTCAAGGTTTGGGACAGCTGGCAAGGATGCTAAGCATGGAAGGCCTAGATTTGACTGGTTATCCTTTCCATGACAGCGGCTCCTGAGCAAACTAAGACTCAGCAAACACCAGCTGAGGTCCACCGAGGCTGGGAGCAGAGAGGGAAGTCTTTGAAAGGGAAGAAATAGGGAAATAGTTCTCAGGTGGCTTACAACTGTGTGTAACACCAGCTCCAGGAGCTCTGACACACCCCTTTGGCCTCTGAGGGAACACATACACACACACACACACACACAAACACACACACACACACACACACACACACACACGCACGCACGCACGCACGCACGCCTATGCATACATGTGTGCGGGCATATACCCCACACTGAGACATGCACACACATAAATAAATAAGAGTTAAAAAAAAAAGAAATCAGACAGTGGTGTGTGATATACGCCTTTAATCCCAGCACTGAGGAGGCAGAGGCAGACAGATCTCTTTGAGTTCAAAGTCAGCCTGGTCTACAAAGTGAGTTCTAGGACAGCCAGGACAACACAGAGAAACCCTGACATGAAAAACCAGGAAAAAAAAAAGAAAGAAAAGAAATATATGCAGGGAGGCAGTCATCATCCTCAATGCTTCTGACATTTCAAACAGCTATGTGACTGTGGACAGTAACTGTAACCTCTCTGGCCTTCCATTGGGCACAGACGACAAGCCACGCTGTGTGAAGACAGCAGATGACTACTTGACCCCAGCAACCCTTCAAGCACTGAAATCCCTCAAACTCTTCCCATCTTGCCGTGTGATCCCCCTCACATCTCTGGGTAACAGGAACCCAGCTTCCGTTTGTATCCCAGCCATCTGGTCCCCATGTGCAGAGCAAACCAC